TGTTTGGAGCTCCCGTCGAGAGCCCTAGACAGTCGCATAGCGGAGAAATATCGTTAGTGAATGCATTTTGGAGGGGTTTGATTCTGCAGCCCCACTTGATTGATGTCGTATAATTGGCTAACTTAAACAATATTAAATAAAATATCTAACTTGGCCACTTGCTAGATTAGGGAGAGCAAGAGAGTGCAAGCAGGATTTGAAGCACGCGCAGGGAAGTGAGTGAAGATGGCGTGAACACAATCTCTCCTCCCCGACCCAGCTACTTGCTGGATTAGGGGGGATAAGGAGTGCACAATCAGAACTGGATGGCCACAGAGGGAACCGCGTGGTAATTCGCAGCGCATAAGCCGTCGTGATGGAACCGACGGAGTTCCACACCGTCGGAAAAATTCCCCTAACATGTCTGCTTAGCCGCTCGCTGGGCTGAGATAATAAAGAGGGTGCAAGCAGGGCTCGAAGCACGCTCAGGGAAGCACGTGTGAACTAATACCAGGAGTAATCGAGGCTGGCGAAAGAGCACAGTCAATCGCTGGATTAAAATGAAAAGGAAGATGTAAATACATAATATTGGTAAAGTCAGCATACTCGCGTTTTTTAAAATATTTTTAGAAAGCAAACCATGTGGTGGGACTGCAGGACAAACCTTGGGGAGTAAACTTTTTCATAGGGTCGAAGGTTGCCTAGTCGACCAGTAATCAATAAATTTTAATACAATCAGCACACGCAATCATAATTAAATAATTATCAGTATATAGAGCGGGATTCCGTCAAATGTTCATGGCGTTTTGAGTGACAGCAGATTTCGTAGGTTTTCGGAATGCCATTGAAACGCCGGCGAATACTTTACGGTTTTCAATGTTCCCAATCGACTTCTCAGAAAAGATTGGTTGTGCGCTGTGTGTTTATCAAAACTTGAAAGTATTTACAAAAACAGTGAGTCTCGAGAAATTCTTTTTCATGCAGTTGACCGTTTTAGTCAGATTTGTAGACTCATCCAAGTATGAAACTGCATCACCAGGACAAATGAAAATCGATGAACGACCATGAATTTTCTCGGATTCATTTGAAAAACTCTCACTAAAAAGTCACCTCTTTCAAAAGCTCTTTTATAAGGCATTTTGATGAAGGATGTCTAGGCACTTCACACTCAATTTTCTTAGTTTTTTTTCTAGCCATTTCTGGCTCATAAGGCTACCATCTCGAATTTTTTTAATGCTAAGTGGTGAAATAAACGAGAAGTCTTTCCATCTTCTCAATCTCTGTCTGTATTTGAAAAGGAAAAAGAAAATTTGAGAAACGGCAAGGATATTTCTGCGTGCAGCTTGCCAGGCCAAGACTCACTTTGCGTTCCTGCGTCCAGCTGCATAAATAGTACTGGAGAGGGAGCACTATCGTCACCGGCTACTGACGCATCAGTTGTGTCAAGAAGTCTTCGATCTTCTAAGAAGGTAAGTATCTAAGGGATTATTTTAGTTTTTTGGAATTTCCGCACGATTGGAAGTAGCGCTTTTCTTTTGCCCGACAGTCTCCTCCAAAGACCAGTTTCACTCGCGGGTGAGAAGACCAGATGGTTACCTGGGGGGGGGGGGAGAGTGGTGGGGGTTGATGTATACGGGGTTTCGGGCTACAGCTCAAACGGGAAGTGCAAACATTTCTACGCCATGAGCCTCTTGATTGTTCTTCAACAGAAAACGAGGAGGACCACCGCAGCTTGAGGTCAGAGTGGTCATTTTCGTGTAAAATTATCCACAGGGCGGGAGACTTACGCGGTAATAAACTAGTCTTCCTTCCGGGAACCCATCATACACCAATGGCAAGAAGGAGTTTGGGCGACCCAAGAGGGCACATGAAAAGGCTATTTCGCTCGTCTGCATTTTCCACACACGAGCTGGCAAATAAGTCTGAGATCTCGCATCCCCTGGAAGTGAGCTAGGCCGTAAAGGCCGCATTGAGAAACAGCCACTAAAAGTTGATCCCGCAAGGATGCAATACCTCCTTCATGGCATAGCTCACTTCTTTGAGACCAAAGACCTTATGCGACTCGCAATAAACGGCGACTCCCCGTTACTCTTGCCATACAGTAGGTAGGCCAACTCATGAAATGTCAACCGAAATTCTGAAATGCGTTTTCGTTTCATAATGAATAAGTATGAGGAGTTCTAAAACTAATCATCGTGCAGCATAATTCTATAATAATTCTGTTACCTCAAAATACCGGTTTCGAATGAACTTCTTCCCGGCCGCATGCAAAAACTACACTCTGTGCAAAATGACTACTTAACTAGCATGCATTTTACTCATTGATCTGCAGTACCCTTAAAGAATCAAATATATTTCATAAAAAGCATGAAGTTAGTATAGTATCCTCGCGGATGTGCTAATATATTAGCGGTGAAAAATCATACTACTGAAGCATGACGCCTTAATAGTATATTACACTGTGAATTACAGTATGGAGTTTAGTGTGAATGTAAGCAGGTTTTAAAGATACATAGAAAGGCGTGCCTACAGTGCCTCTGGACGGAGACATTGTGAGGGGAGTTGGGGTCGTTGTGGCACAGACGCGAAGCCGAAAGTAGGTTAGAACGACTCAAGGCAATTATTTTACTTTCGTAGTAGTATCCCGCCCTTTGACTCTGCCACCAAATCTGTCTCGCGCCCCGTGTTATAACACGGTCAGCTCTGATCGCTGACCATTTCAGAGCTCCAGCAGAGTTCGCCTGCCTCGCAAAACGAGCTCCGTGCGAGCTCATTCAGAGCACATTTTGCTATTAGGGTACTATAGTGATAATACGATGTCAGAATTTCGACATAGTTATATAACTATGTCGAAATTCTGACATCGTATTATCACTATAGTACCCTAATAGCAAAATGTGCTCTGAATGAGCTCGCACGGAGCTCGTTTTGCGAGGCAGGCGAACTCTGCTGGAGCTCTGAAATGGCGGGCGTTAAAATACGCCATCAGCTTCACATATGTGAAGCTGATGGCGTATTTTAACGCCCGCCTTGATTCCTCTACCACTTTAGTAACGATCAGACTCGTGCCGAATGTGGGAATAGTTAACTAGACATCATGAAGATATTGTATTGTTACTAGGAGCACTGGTACTCAAGACAACGTTGCTTATGAAATCAAAAATTTGAGCAAAAATCTCGACGCAGGTGAGATTCGAACTCACGCGGGGAAACCCCAATGGATTAGCAGTCCATCGCCTTAACCACTCGGCCACCGCGTCACGTTCTCGCAGTGCTCAAAAAGCCTACATTAATTTCTCGCAACTGTGACTTTTTATTCATGAACTGAAGCAGCAGCAATTCTGGGCACCTCCGCTATCTGTCGAAATTTCTATCAAATTATGCTACTTATAGCTGTTCCAGGCACCCAGAATGTGTGCTCCTACAAGAGGGTGCTATGGAAAAGTCCAACAAGTATTTTTAAGACAAGTTGCTACTAAGCAAACAGTAAGGAAGATATACCGTCATCCAAGTTAATGCAATCCACCGTTCCTTTTTAGTCTCAAAAGGGAATCGACCTGTTCTATTGCAACCCCCACAGCAATTAATGCTTTTGAATTTATCCTTCCAATCTTTTTCTACGGTTGAGCCTTCAGTTGTGCTTTATTATCGTCTGTCGGTATGATTCGTCTCAAATGATGCTCTCCGAATTAGATTGCATTCCGAACTACTAATTACTGAATTTGACGACAGCAAGTGTACCTTCGGCTCGTTCCTCGTACGTTAGGCCAGCTGACTGTCCTACTCCTTTCAGTCCGTCAGTATCTTGACTATCGATGAACGGAGGGTATGGCAAACTGAGTGCTCACGACACTCAAATGTCAACCGTTGTGCCTTGAGAGGCTCCGACGGGCCACCGTCGGAAGAGCTTCATTAATCCTTGTCAGTTCATTTCAGTTTATTCGAAAGAAAGTACAGTAGGTGAGCTTACGCATGAAATGTACACCAAAATTCCGTAATGCGTTTTCGTTTCGAAAAGAGTGAATAAGTCGGGTTGTAAAACTAGTCAGTCTGAAACATAATTCTTAAAAATTTCAGTTATCATAGGATGTCGGCTTTCGAACGAACATCCTTCCGGCTGCAAGTGAAAATCACACTCTGTAAAAAATGACTACTAATGTAGCATGTATTTTTCTCATTGATTTTCGATGTCCCTAAATGTCCAATTATATTTCATGGAAAGCATGCACAAAAATATTCATTCTGTTGCTCATTCGGTAGAAAATTATGTCTTTTTCTAATTTACTGCTCGAAAGAGGGGCATAATGCGGTATTAAAAACGTTTCTTACTATGGGACTTTTATATGCCGTGAAATGGCCGTTCATAAATCGAAAAGTCTCTGCATTTACCAATGTGGCTTGTAAAGCTAACAATATGATTCAAATCCACAGCTAAATTTTATGGACCCTATATGGTGTCCCTTTATAACCGCAGAGAAATGTGTGGTTTTCCGTACGTGAAAAATATACGGCTTGTTGTTTGGAGACCCTGAACGCAACTGAAACGGCATATCAGATTTAGTATTATTCGGGAACTGGAAAGGTTTTCAAAAACCGAACTATGCCCTTCTTTTGAGTATATTATTGGAAGAAGGCGCAATTTTCTACCAAAGGAGCAAAAGAATGGATATTTTGTGCATATTTTCCATGAAATATAACTGGACATTTAGGGGCATTGAAAACCAATGATAAAAATTCATGCTACTTAAGTTTTCATTTTTTATAGCGTGAAATTTTTGCTTGCAGCCGGAAGGAAGTTCACTAGAAAGCCGGCATCCTTGAAATATTGTAGAATTGCGTTGCAGGCTGACTAGTTTTACGATTCTACGTAATTAATCTTTTCAAAGCGAAAACGCACTTCGGAATTTCGGTTGGTATTTCATGAGTTGGCCCACCTACTGTTCGTCCATTCTATCCTCTGTCGACTTTACTTAAACATAGCTCCATCTACGTGGAAGGCAGAGCAAGTGAGGTCGACATTACTCTGACCAAACGTCTATTTCCTTAGTCTAAACAATTTAACGTGTCTCGAACCCACATCGACGTTCAAGCAGTCGTGGAATAGGGGAGTACAGACCGAGGATCGGTTTCTATAGGCCTTTTTAGTGCAGTATTGAAGACCATGTTATGACTAGTTAGTAGGTTTGAGCAGTTAATGAACCAAATATCATGTCTAACTGACCCGGCTTAGATGAGCCACTAGGTACACGAGAAGGGGAGAGAGAGTTAGAGAATATGCGATCCAGCTCAGACACCGTGCCTAATTTCCTCCCTACGAATAATCAAACGCGTTTTAAGACTGCCATGACTCGTCAACAGTCATGGTGTGGAGGACCACATGCCCAATGCGTTAAAAGTGAAGCTCACGCAGTTAGCCCAGTTGTACGTGTTGGTGTGAAGTGACAGACTGGTGGGCTAAGAGACGGGCTGCCAAGGTCCTTTCTTAGCGTGAGCTCTGGCACGCTCGCACATGTGAGGAGTGGGTGTGTTTCGTAAACAGTGTCCCTCAGTCGACGACTGACTGGTTACCCTGTCTTTGAAGGATGATAGCCCAGGCTAAATGCATGACTGCACGTCACCCCTCTAAACATTAGGAATCGTGCGCGTTTGCTAGAACCATTATTCAGCAAAACATGGTCCTCACAATCTGGTGTGCGTTGTCAGTCCTCTGGCATTCAGGTTCCCGCCGGCAGATGCGTTTGCGGTCCCCGCTGGGTAAACGGGTCGTGAGCATGTCTGCCCACTGACTTGTGGCATCATCTCCTCTTTCGGTTCGATTTTTATTGCCAGTTAAAATCCTAGTCGAATGTTTGCTGTGTAGCAGCAGGTGTGGTGGTAGGTTTTAGATGCGGGTACGGCCGTGCCAACCACCTCTCCCACCTTCGGTCTTCCTGGCTATGCCTTAACATCTGACACAGGTGGGGAGGAGAGAGTGTGATAGACGCTGTGCAAGTCTGCTACCACTATAAACTAATACACAGGCAAGTCACCGTGTCTGCTTTAGCTTGTCTGTGGAACATACGGTGGACGTCGTTGGCAATGACGGCCGAACTGTCAGATGCGCTTTCTCATAAAATGTTAACCAAAATTCTATAATGCGTTTTAGATCCGTTGCGTTGTAATATTAATTTTCGTGTGCCAAAATACCGACGTATTACAACCACGCCAGGGTGTTAGCTTTCGGAGGGGCTCTTTATCGACCACCTGCGTAAGATACACTCCATAAGAACGAATACTTAGATAGTGTGCATTTTTCCCGTTTCTTTTCCATACCTCGTGAAGAAATATTTTCCTCCACCCATTTGACAAAAAATTGCGTTTGCCTTGAATTGTATGCTTAAGAAAAGAGTCTCTTTAGGTTTTTAAGAAGTTTCTGATCATGAGGTTTTTCAAGACAGCGAAATGTTCAATCGTACAGCATCGCATCAGCACATTTATTAATGCCGCCTATAAGGTGAACAACGTGGTCGGAACTCATCACAAAATTTTATGAGCCCTTTAAGTCCTCTTCATAATAACGTGTTAAAATGCCTGGTTAGCTATCGGGTGAAGGATCCCAAACACACAAACACGATCAGCCGAAGGTGCCTGTCTAACTGGAATGGTGGTAATAGGGGTTTTAGGGGCGGGGCTTATGAATTTATGGAGGAATGGCAGAATAAGTATAGATAATTGTTAAATTCGGTTTTTGGACGGGAAGGTTTTGATGCATTGACATGCAGCAACCGAAAGTAGGCAGGACAATTAACGCAATAAACTTTAAGGATAAGATGTGGTTATATGGCCCCACCTGATGAACATAATACTGTTGGGGTTGGGGGTTAGGGCAACTATTTCTTAACCACTTGAAGTACAACCCCGCATTCCCAATAGCTTTTCTTTGGCCAATAGAAGCGAAGAGAGGAGTCCTAAGAAGCAGCCTTGAAGAAGAAGACATTATCGCCAGGCTAATCAAGCGGTCGTGTCTTCTTCTTCAAGCTTTTCTTTTGCAAATAATTACTTGACCTCGTCGCCTATACGTTCCCGGCCCCACCTGCTAAAAACCCTATTACCACCGGTCCCGCATTAGGGGTGACTAGGGTTTGTTTACTTCAGGTGGGGCCACCAAACCACATCCGACAAAAATATCCTTTTAAGACGGTGTCTGCAAAGGATTACTTTTTGCGTGAGACATCATTGCACATTCCATTTACCAACCAGCAAAGTGCCTACATTTGGAGACTATAAAAAAGATAATATATTGGCAGTTAAGTTGGCTGACAATGCGCTGAATGTGAAGAGGCCATGCTATAACTACATAGGCAGATAAGTTGTGTATCCACTTGGGTAAGGTGGAGACAGTGTATATTTTATCTGGAGTTTTTCTCCGGCTGCCTGCTTTGCCCGCGTTTCACACACAACACAATTGGTTGTCGATAGGACGGCAGGGCAGGACTTGCCAAAGGCCCGGAACCGGCAATACCCACATCACCAGACGACGCAGCACATCTTCCAACTAAATAAAAAGATAACCTTTTACCACCGGTATCGTAGTACAGGTGGCTTGGGTTTATTAACTTCAGGTGGAGCTACATAACCACATCTGACCACATTAAGTGTCTACAACGATCGCTTTTTAACTCTCTGAGTTGATGCCATTGAAGAGTATACACCAGGCCGTCTATAACAGAAGACGCATCCTTGAGCAGTGAAACACAAAACCGAAGTAATCGTGTCGGACTAAAAACTGTTTAAATAGGTATAATAGGTATTTTTTATATGCCGCAGATGCTTGGGGTCCCTCTCCCGATATTTGCCAATGCTCGATTTGCCTCGCAAGAAAAGCGTATACCCTGTAATTTGAAAACTCTGAGTGTCGGTTTGACCTCAGATAAAGGTCGAGATTATTTGGAAATCAAGAAAGTTTTGTAAAACGGATAGATGCTTTTTCCTCCAACACAAAGTCTGAAGAAGACGTAATTCGTCACGGAATGAGTAAAAGAAAGGATGTTTGTGCACATTTTCTACAAAGTATATTTGGATTTGTAAGGGTATTAAAAATCAATGGTAAAAATCCATGCTACTGAAGGAGTCATCTTTGCGGAATATAGTTAATGTAAGTTATCAATAAGGAGCTCGACCAGAAGCCGGCATCCTGAGGTGACTGGATCAGCTTAACGTTCTGCGACATGAAAATTAATATGACAAACCCACCAAGATAATCTTTTAGAATTCAAAGCACATTTCATGAGATAGTCCATCTACTGTAATCTAACAGATAGTCTGAAGTGCGTGAGGGGTAGAACCCAGGCCGGCTAGGTTGTGTTACATAGACCGGAGACTGGGTGTGGTCTTGCCCAGCGTCATATGTGTTACGACGGTGATGACGAAACAGAAAGTACCTATTTCTCCCGCCCGCCGCCGCCGCCGCGATGGAAATATTACTCCGACCGGCTCAACCAATCAACGTGCAGGCAACGCATGCGCCGGACATGAGTCAGCCTGCGGCGACAGGTGTACCGGGCAGTGCAACGCCCGGCGATAAAAGTAGGTTTGGGACACGCAAGTTCGGCTCCCGCGGCAAGCAGCTACCAGGTGAATCACCTGGGCAGTCGAAAAAGGATTTCTGCAGCTCCCCGAAAGCGCAGTTCTGCAGCGCAGTACTCTGGCCGACGCGACAGAGTGTGTGAATAGCAAAATAACTGGGCGTTTCAATTTCCCCAACCCGGCGACCACAGCAGGCGACGAAAGAAATTGATGGTTGACTTTTGTAACCTAGTGGCGGCCGCTTTCGCTGTCGCTAACAGGCGCTGGCCTAGTAGCTTAGGATAGCTTGATACTTGATGGTTGATCCCAGACCACGACTAGTAAGTGCGAATTCCGCGTGTGCCTACATTACACGGATGGCGGCATGACGTCAGGGACATGCTAGAATCGAGGACGACCTATTTCAGCGGAGTGGTTTTTAGCAATTGGTATTGCTATTTTTTAGGTATTATTAAGGGTATTGCGTGAAAACTCCTTCAAGTTGGTGAGCATTCTCTTGGTTGTCAGTAGATGTGAAATCTCTTTCGCTGACGGGTTATAAAAGGAGTTCTGTCGTTTCTAAGTCTGCCTAAAAAAGAGAAAAAGAGTCTGTGTTGATGACCGCATTTATAGGTTTGTGGATGCAAGTTAAAGTGTCCCGTGCCGACATAGTGTGGTGTATTGTACGATCAATCCTTATCCTAGAATAGAGATCTCGTCTACCACCACCACCACCACCACCGCCACCACCAACACCACCACCACCAGCGCCACCACGGGCATTACAATCACCGACAGCACTGCCACCACGAACAGCTCAATAGCTGCAGTTTCATCCTCTCCACACTGTGGCCGTTCGTCTGAGTTGCATATTGGTCCGGTCGGTCACTTGCAAATCCATTGCATTGAGTACGTGTCGACGTACGGTGGCCTACAACTTGAGGTCCACAAAGCCATAAGTCATGAAAACAAAGTTGATTGGACAAACCTTACTGCGGCAAGAGAGCGAACATGCAGTGGCAACAAGTCGTCTCACCAGGCCATTTATGGCCGTTGAGACTGAAGCACCGACGCGGAGCGCGTGCGTGCACCTGCGTTTTGCCCGTCTGCGGCCAATCAGCGAAGGACCTAGCATCGGCTGGCCTCGAGCTCTCTACATGCCGGCGCAAAATCCACTACGGCCCAGGCCATCGGTCCAGGGGGAGTTTGGGTCGGATTGAAGGCGGCGTGAGTAAGCGGTCGCGTCGGCGATCACCGCAGCAGACTGTCACAACTGGCCACTCGGCGTCAGGAACCTCAAAACACATTGGTCTATTTCATCGCATCTGCCCACAATGCCCCCAGGACATTCGATTATCGCAGGGGACATATGTGCCTCCGTGACACTTTTCAGCCAATTAGCAAGACTCAACCTCCTTCATAACACCCCGCTTTACTAGCATGCACGCAGCCGTAGGCCAAACGTGAACACACACACATGCGTCCTCTACGTAGCACAGCATGCCTCATGCCCGCAGCAAACAACCAATACATTTTGTCATCGCCGATATGCCGTGGAAAACGCAGCATGCGTGCGGATATCACTTAAAAGCGAGGCATGTCCACTGGAGCCTGAAGCTGGAACCAGGTCGTGTAGATCACACCTAGACGGGCTACCAACCAAGGTGAGAGTGGCGTCGAGACTGATGAGTAAAACCTACGACAAATCAGCTCATTCCTGTCTGCAGTTACCCTGACGTACAAAGACAACCACGGTGTTCGAGCCCACTCTCAGCCATCTGGACTATGTCTTGCCATCGGCGAGGGGGGAGGGGATAGTGCGACAGATGCTGCTCAGATCTGCCTCACTATAAACAAGTCACGGGCTCTGCGCCCATTCTATGGTGGACGTTGTCTCTCTTAGCGTTCGAACCGTCAGACTCTGTCCGGAACCGCTTGCAGGGTCGATAAATGACTACGGCACAGTGAGACGTTGCAAAAACACGTCGGGAATCGCAATAAAGATCGCCCCTCCTCCTCACCCCAATCAGATAAACAAGGTCACAGCCCCTGGACTTCCATACTATGAAGAACCGGCCTCTCCAGTTATTGGCCCAAAACGTCCCCAGAACTTGTTTCTTCGGTCATCGTTCTTTTCTCGGTCTGAACTTGCCTACCTGCAACATGACTGACATACGCTGGAATTAATATGCTGTCCGAAATGCCGTTTAGTAATCTACCTATAAATGAGACATATGTGAAGGACGCATCCCAGAAGGACCGCAAATAACACTAGAGGTCACGTTAAGAATGGGTCGTGGCAGGTTAGGGCTTAGGGTCAGGAGTTAGGACTAGGGGTTTGGGCTAAGTGTTAAGGCAAATAAACTTCTTGTCCCAGTGATCGCATCTTCATCTTCTGAGCTTTTCTTTTGTTAACAATTATTTGACATCGTCGCCTGTGCGTTCCCCGACTTCACCTGTAGAGAACCCGTATTACCGACTGCCCCGTATTACAGGTGTCTGGGGTTTGTTTACCTCAAGTGCGGCTACATCGCCCCATTCGACCAATTTTTGTCCCGCCATAGAACCTGCCTTAAGTCATCGCTGCGTCTCCAGTGGGGCATTGGCGAGTGCCGCGCAAATACTACAAACAGATGCTGACCTTCGCCAACTTATGGTCTGAATTTGCATGAACAAGTGCCGATTAATCACAGATGCCAGTATCGTCGTTTTTATAGACCCCTTACAAGCATAAATATTTACGTTGGGCTAAACAGGAACGTAGACAACAGCGAGCTATGTCAGGATAAAGCTTCGGATCACAGAAGATGGTAGTCACCAAAGGCAGCCCATAGCAGACAAATTTGGGAAGATTCCGACAACAAATCACACTATCCGGCTTGGTCTCTAAAAGTCCTCCAGCGGACTGCCCTTGCAAAAAGACATAACTGTCCCAAACTTGGGCGCCAGGCGCCAGACAGAGCGGCCAAAGGGCAGACAGACCTTTTGGTACGCAGTTCACATAAGCAACATAATGGAATGGGAAAAAAGCAATAAAAAAATAACACTAGAGTGAGGCAAATGGGCTTCGGCTGCTGGACGCGCATGCAGTGGCTTGCTGGCTAACAACCAGTGATCGAGATGCCTTACCGATTTGGATACGAACGACCCGCCTCCTCCTTTTTGGTGTCATCGGTCAGTTTTATCGAATCCTCCCTCCCCTGCCTTATCTGAAGTTCGATTTGGAGCTCAGGCCTGAAGACGCCACCTGATGACCAGCTGCTCGTTTTTCGTTCAATTCCGGTTTAGGGTCACTGCAGATGATTGCACAGTGGTGAAGCGTGCGTGGTCGGGTGCCGATCGACCCCCACGTGGGGACTTCCTTCTCCGGGACTCACAAGAAGCAGAATACCAGAGCAGGGGGTTTCTTCCCTTGTTTTCCTCTGGGATCTCTGCTGTGTAATTTCGACAGTCATCTGAAACGGCTAGAACACAGAAGTGTCCTAGAACGCTGAAGGAACTGACGAAAAAACCGCGGGGTCCGCAGCATAGTACTGAGTGCCTGAATTTTAAACAGCCATAGTTCTGCATCAGGCGTGTTCTTCGATACTCATTTTAGCATATATTAATGGTCGCTATACCTTCATCGACTCTAGATGGAGCGTAAAGGCACAATGACACGAGCAGGTCTTATAACTTTATCTGTGAAAGCGGTCCCAACGCAGGTAATATTACAGATGGCAACCGACAGGCCAGCGGGGTCCGGGGCTCAGTGGTCGAGCGTTAGACCCAAAGATCCTGGGTTTAAATCCCAAGTGCCTTACACATGGGGCCGGTCACGGCTGGCTGACAATGACTGATAAGCCAGAAAAGACCATTCCAGTCTCCTTTCTTCTTGCCGTTTTTACCCTTTGGCTTGCCAGTGTGTTGTGAACGGACATCACTCTGTCCATCGGAGCCGGTTCTGGTAATCTTCAGTACAGCCGCCGGATAATTTCCGCGATCGCGCCTTCTCCTTGGTTCTTGTGTCCTATTTGAGGACCTGAAGCCGTATCATCATAATCTCTGCACACCCGCGAGCACCATGTGTAACCAATGATCACGAATACCGCTCATAACCCCATATAAGTTCACACGGAAACACACCATTAGTGTGACCCCGACGGAAGTCTAGGGTCCCAAGACCACATGTGCGGCTGTGTACTCAGCAAAAGTAAAGACTATTGAAAATAACATGAAAGCGCAATCACTGCAGCAGTGATCGCAATCTTTTCTTTGCCGATAGTGCAATCGATTTCGCGATATTGCAGCACAAAATGCCCTTGTTTTCGGAAAGTCAATTGAATTAGTCACCCTAGTCACCTGATCCCCCGATTTGATCTCACGGTGACAGTAACTGTTCTTTGCAAATTGTTCAAACAGATAGGCAGGGAAATTTGTGGACAAAAGTCGGGAGTTTTCTATGGACAGCAGTTTGACGAGACTACGAATGAAAATTGTCTTGAGCACCAAAAGTGCTTAGAGTATGAACACAATTTAATAAACGCGCGAATAAATGGAGCCCTTCAGTTGAGTAAATTTTAAACCATGTGTACAAATCGGGGGTCTGAAAAAATCCCTGCAGAGGTGATTTGAACTCTTTCGATTGATTTCTACTACTTGTATGGGTGTAATCCCGATTTTAAGACAGTGTGTACAAACACTTTATTTCTTGTACTACTCTTGTAGAACATTAGGCCCGCCTTTAATTTTGTACGTGGGACGTTGGAACACTACCATGATCGCTTGTATAGTAGGGTCTTCGAGCCTAAAATGACGCTGCCTTCCAAGTGTGCAAAGTAGCCCATAGACACTGAATTCGGAGGCAGATGAGAATAGGAACCACCACCTCCGTATTCTGAAGACCTCGGGCTGATTTCTGGTGCGGTAAGAGTTTGTGTAACGGTTCGCACCCGACTTAAGCTTAGTGTTAATGCTGAGATTATGGTTAGCGTTGAGGTTATTGTAAGGGTTAAGGCGCAGGAATACGTACCCTGACTAAAATTACGCCACAGAAAAAACAACCCCAAGGTGTGGGACACCTGGGGCTCCACCCTGAGACCTGTTGGTTAGAAGCCCAAAGCCCTTAACCACTGAGTCGAGAGCTCGATGTCCTGTGGATTACGATCGGGCATATACAACAGTAGAAGGGGACTCTCCGACCGTGTGAGTTCCATAGCACTATCGGTGAGCGCGCTTCAACTACCGTATATACCCGATCGCAACTGATAGAACAACGAGCCTTGGACTTAGTGGGTAGGGACGTTGGACATCCGACCAACAGGTCGCGGGGTGGAGTTCCAAGTGTCCCACAACTTGAGGTTGGGCATACCTGACTGGCGACGGCTAATAAGCCAGGGATGTCCATTCCGGACTCCCTTGTCCTTGTCGGTAACGCTATTCTGCCTTTATTCCGTGCGGGTGTGCAGCTGCTGGCGGGACGCTCACTGATCGTTTCTTACGTAACTCACTCATCCCGTTGTGCCTTAAGGGCTCTCTCTCTCGAGCCCAACCAGCAGCCGCACAGCGGCGCATGATACATAGGCAGAATGGCATTACCGACAAAGACAAGGGAGACTGGAATGGCCATTTTTGGCTTATTAGCCCTCGTCAGCCAGTCATACCCAAGCCCGAAGTGTGAAACACCCGAGCCTCGAACTCGTGACCTGTTGGTTTAGAAGTCAACGCCTCTATTCACCGGGTCACGAGCCCGTTGCCTTGTCGGTTTTCGATCGGGAATATACAGTGTTAGGGGGCGCTCACCGATCGTTCATACGGAACTCACTCGTTCCGTTGTGCCTTATGGACTCTCTCTCGAGCCCAACCAGCAGCCGCACAGTGGCGCATGATTTATAGGCAGAATGGCATTACCGACAAAGACAAGGGAGACTGGAATGGCCATTTTTGGCTTATTAGCCCTCGTCAGCCAGTCATACTCAAGCCCGAAGTGTGGAACACCCGAGGCTCGAACTCGCGACCTGTTGGTTTAGAAGTCAACGCCTCTACTCACCGGGCCACGAGCCCGTTGCCCTATCGGTTTTCGATCGGGAACATACAATGTTACTGTTAGAGGTTCGACGCCTCTAACCATTGAGCCACGGACTCTTTGTCCTGTCAGAAGTGGCCATTCCAGTCTTCCTTGTCTTTGTCAGTAATAACATTCTGCCTATATCATGCGCCGCTGCGCGGCTGTTGGTTGGACTCGAGAGAGAGGGAGAGAGTCTCAAGGCACAACGGGACGAGTGAGTTCGGTTATACGATCATTGAGCGCCCTTCTGCCATTGTTAATATACCCGATTGCAACCGACAGGAAAACAAGCTCGCGGTTCAGTGGTAAAGGACGTAGGACTTCTAGTCGACAGCTTCAGGTGTTCCATACCTGTGCAAGGCCGACCGTATTTCCGGAGAACTGAGATTCCTATTTACGTGTCTTACACCGAAATGTTCTATGAGTACAACTCGACCACTTCATGAGGGCCGGGGGAGATATTTAGATTGGTTTTGGGGAACTTTCATGACGCATGCTTTCAAAATATTCAATTTAGGTTCGAACACTCGTTGTGACTAAAATATATAAGAACTGAAAAAAATGAAGTAAAAGTACTACCTGATTTCGGGTACTTAGAAGTGTACTTTGGCAACAAGTGAGCGCCAGAAAGAACGCTTTTGGATCTATTCCAGGACATAGAGTTAAATAGATGGAGACAATATTCATTCATAGATGTAGTAGTAGCCTGGTAGTCATCTGATGAATTCTAGGTAAATTGCTTAGGAGATCCTGCTTGAGCAGTCAACTTACTGTATCAGATTTTGTGGATTCCAGACGTTGCAGTAGATTGGGTGGGTAACTTGACCAAAATGTGATTTAACTCGCATCGTCCGTCTGTGCCTCGTATCTCAAGTGGTTAGAGCGTTGGCTGTACTAAAGCCTCCCACTTACTGCGTGGGTTCGAATCCCACCGAGTCGCTGAGTGTTTCACAGTTGGGTCAACATGGGTAATAAGACAGTTAAATTTAGTTAAGAAGCGGAGTTACACAACCTACCGTTGTCCCAACCGCCTATCACAGGCAAAACCCCGAAAGACAAGCGGTTTCCCGGTCACTTTAGTTTCGTGAGTTACTTTGGACTGAAAAAAATCTTGAAATCCGTAGGACTCTGTATAAACTTTGCTTCGAACATAAGATAAGGTGTTCTTCTATAAAGACGCTAAGCGTAAAGTGACTGATTTGCACTACATAAAAATGTTCGAAATGAGCACAGAACAGTTTTTGAAATGAAAAACGCCTGGAGATCAGTCCATACAGAAAAAATCCTGCATTGGCACAATATGATCGTGGCACCAGAATCAACTTCCATCTCAGGTAGAACGTAAATCCCTAGGGCTTTGGTCTAAAGCGTGCACTGGTTGCCAATCATCTTTCGTAGATTTCAAGGTCAGTCTTGTGTTCCTGGGGCGGGCAGTTCTCACACAAATATTTTGCTAACCGTAGCATCAGGAGAGCTGTCTTGTGACCTCACTTTACGACCAGCACGGCCTGAAATGCTGCACTCAGGGACAAGGCTGCGATTGCTTAAGTGAAATGTTCGACTCACGCACAAAAGCCGCTGCCCTTACGAGCGCAGTCACGTACATTAGGCTTCCACTGTACATCTGGTCGTCGGCGTGCCAATGCTTTCGTAATCCAGCTTCCGGTCATATAGTCAGTGCAGGTCGAAAAAGGTTACTGCCCCACCGCAATTGTGACGCTGCATCAGTCAGGCTGGCTGTCGTTTTCCCCGTTTCTCTTCCGAAATTTAAACGCACGGGCGGATGAGGAACTGATGTCGAAGCGACAAAATTTGAGCAGGTCCTCATAATTCGTCTGAGTTAGCTGAATTCCTTACTTTTCTCACAATGCCTGCACAGTCTAGAGGAGGCCATATTTGCATAGAGTTTTCGCATCGTTTCCAGCGCTTCGAAATTCTCTAACACTGATTGCAGTGTGGACCAGGACGACAAAGTCATCTCCTCGAAGTCCTCCCAGAGAGTGCAGTGCCCTTAAAACGGGCCACAGGGTAGATGGGCTAGACTAGCACCGGAGTTCGAGCGGACTCCGGCAGGCGTTGTCGATTATCCGCACCCATGGTAAATGCCAGCATTAAGTTGTGGCGACAGACAAATTTGCCATTTCTGCACTGCCCTCCTACTGTTCCTGTGGTAGAAAATCCTGATCAGTGTCCGTTGTGGACCAGGGGACGTGGTGGTACGTCTACGTGCCACTTGCGTCCCCTTCCGCCTCCGGTCTTCTTGACTCTCTTTTGACCCCAGGTCGAAGTGAGGTGGCGGAAGGGAGTGCGGTAGACGCGGTGCAAGTCTACTATCACTGTAAACTACTTCACGCTCAAGTCACCGTCCCTGCTTTTGCAATGCCGTGGAGCATACGGTGGACATCGTGGAAAGATAAGGGAGATTGGAGCAGCAATTGCTGGCTTATTAACCACCGCCAGCTCGCCATACCAACCGAGCAAGTGAGTTCCGTACCACAATCGGTGAGCGCCCCTCTTCTATTGCATATGACGATCACAACCGACAAGACGGCAGGCCCTTGGCTCAGTGGTTGGAGGCGTTGGACTTCTAACTAAAAGGTCGTGGGATCGAGCCCCAAGTGTTCCACACTTAGGGTTTGAGCATGACTGGCTGACGACGGCTAATAAGCCTGAAATGGCCATTCCAGTCTCCCTTGTCTCTATCGGTAATACCACTGCCTATTTCATGCGCCTCTGTTTGCTACTGGTTGGGCTCGAGAGAAAGCCCGTAAGGCACAACGAAACGAGTGAGTTCCATAGAAACGATCAATAAGCATCCCTATACCATCGTCAAAATCGACGGTCGAAATGCCGGCGGCCTGGAAGAGCCAGAGTGTGGTTGATTTGACGTAGGTATTGAGTTTACGTAACAACCACCCGGGTAATCAGAAATGCGGATGCATAATAGCACTCTGCTGATGTGTTAGGAAACAGTTTACGTAACCTGACGACAGGGTGGGTGAATTACAATAACTCCGATGGGCGCTCAGAGTCGCCCGCTTAATTTCGCCAACCGGCACATGGGGAGATTAGCCGAGAGGTCAAAAGACGCCAGATACAAGTGTTTGTGAATTTTCTTGTACATCAAAGACATCTATCGAAAGCTCTCAGCCGGACCGGAGGCAACTATCAGGTACCAGATGATGGGGCAACAAAACCCGCATAAATAACCACGAAAGGCGTGGAGTCCTTCATCGGATCTGGCTCAGTTGCGAGCAAGATGGCTACTCAGGAGAAACGGGAAGATTACTGCGAACCCAAATCACGGAACAGGAATTTGCATTTGAAAGGAAAAATATCAGCCTTAAAGTCATGACCCGGTTAATAGGACCTGACCGCACCTTTAAGTTCGACGACAGGCACGTGAGTCAAGAGCTGCTTGCGTTCTGATTCTCCTGCACATCAATAAGCGCTACGATACTCTCACTTACTCACATATGGGACACTATCTGCGCAGCTTAATTAGTCACGTGGGCGATGAGTGTGCGAATTAACATTACATCCAGTGACACCACCGATGAGTAAGATTTCGAAGTCACTTATGTGCCTCATCGACACCTGTACTGAAGCCACAACGATCGACGTGTCGTAGTCGTGCAACACTTACATCCCCAGTACAGCCATCTTCAATAAATGCAAAGCCGCCAATGTTACTGGATGTGTAGCTGCGTAGTGCCCCTGTGCGGGTCTACAACTGTTATTTGTTGCAACCTTCGGCGTTGGGTTCGAGGGAGTGATAACATCCAAATCACCGACTAAATAAATGCCCTGTTCAAGAAATTCGGCCTCTTTTGTCTCAAAGTCACCAACATGTGTGGACGTAGTCCAAACGAAGATATAGCCCACTATATTCCCCAAACGGGCCAAGTCGTTTAACATTCCCAATCAGTAAAAAGGGGACCCAGCATTCCTCTGTCGAAAGAACGGGATCATTTTGTCCACTTGCATAACTTCAACTCGCATGACATCCCAAACTGAATTTATGGTATAGGTGACCAAAAATGTTTAACATTTAAAACCAACCGTCTGCTTGACAGACACCTTTCAGTACTCATCGTCGGCTGACAAGACGCCTATTTAACCTTCGGTCGGAGGTTTCCGAGCCAATACTGAGCGACAGATTAATATAGGAAACCTGACCCTTTTCCCACCCATTTGACTGGTTAATATTTCTAACAGCTGCGCTACACAGAAAATCCGACAGGTCTTGAAGTGACTTTCGGATTCTGACAGTTCTACAAATAGATTATTCCATTCCCCTTATCTCGATTATTTTTTGTCATCATGTTTGCCGTTACCTTTCTCCCTGATGGGATGACCGACAACCACCACCACCACCACCACCACCACCACCACCACCACCACCACCACCACCACCACCACCACCACTATTGCCTCCCCTAATATCGCGCCCATCAAATATCGAGCGTCGGCGACCTAATGCAACTGGTTCAAATATCTCTACCTCCCTGTGTGACAAAGTAGTCTTCTCAGACACTTTTAGCGTCTGAAAACGAACCAGGATAGGCAAGTGGCGCAACTAACGAGATCTCGAAACCGAAAGTTAGATGCGGGGTACGGCATGCATTGGGCGTTGTCACATTGTTTGCTAGATCCTTTTGCGACACAGAGCATCTTTACCTACTTAAGGTAAAAGGCTCGATTTTGGGCAAAATCGAACGCGCAAGCGGCCAGTCAACAAATCGCTGATTTTCTGCGTGTTTTGTTATTTCTAAAAGTCTTTCATTTAGATGCCTCTCCGTTCGCTATGCAGTCGTTTTCGAAAATGCTGGTTTTCAGTAGAAAAGATTATGTCCAGATCGGTAAAAAAATAATTGAATAACCCCAATCTACACTCCTAAATATGGGCCGACCAGATAATACTTCTAAACTCTCTGATACGCAGGCGTCTTCATTTCAGGCCTTTCCTGAGAAATACACGGCATTTCACACCATTTCATGCACCAACTGCCGTGTGTGTGTGTGTGTTTTTTTTCCTCTTAAAGGGGCCAACGCGGTAGCTGAGTTGGGCGAACACAGAGTTAAGATGGGAGTCCGGCAGGCGTTATCGGGTACTTCCACCCATAGCAAACGCCAATATTGGGGTGTGGTGGCACCCCCAGTTGTCCGCTTGATCCGCGGCAATTGCGATCCCTGCTGCACCCGATTGTTTTTGTAGGTAAAATACTGGACCTGGATGCACCTTCGGTCTCGACAGTGGCACCTGCTGGACAACGTCATCGTCCGGAGGCGAGACCAGAAGGACGTGCTGGTGACAAAGGCGATACCAGTCGCTGACGGGAAGACCGATCATCACTTCGTCATCTCCAAAATGAGAATCTGCCTACAGCCGTGCAGGAGACCTCAAGGTAAGCGCTCTGGCTGTCCTCTGTCGCGCAGGACGCCAACGACCGGACTGGTTCGAAGAAAAAGACGCTGCCATCAGCAACCTGCTCGCCGAGAAGAACCGCCTACACAAAGCCTTCTTCAACGCTCCACCGGCAAAGGTAAGGCAGCCTTCTACCGTAACCGCGACCTTGCGCAACAGCGGCTGCGGGAGATGCAGGATGTTTGAACGGCTTGCATGGCCAAGGAGATCCAAGGATATACGGACCGAAACGAAAGAAAGATCTTTTTCGCCGTAACCAAGGCTGTCTACGGTCTCGCAGCCAAAGGAACTGCTCCTCTTCTCAGCGCTGACGGCTGTACCGCATCCACTGAGAGGACGCAAATTCTACAGCAATGGACCGAGAACTTCAAAGGCGTCCTCAGCCGTCTTTCCACCATCTCCGAAGCCGACGTCGCCCGTCTGTCTCAAGTGGAAACAGACGCCGACCTTGACCTCCCGCCATCTATACACGAAACCATGAAGGCCGTGCAGCAGCTCTCCCGTGCGAAAGCGCCGGAATCGGACGCAATCCTTGCTGAGATCAACAAGCACGGCAGTCCCCAACTTATGTCTAACCCGACAGTACTCTTCCAGGAGATGTGACCTGAAGGACAAATCATTCAGAATTTCAAGAACGTCACAAACGTCCATCTCTGCATGGACGAGGAGGCATCTCGCTCCTCAACATCGGCGGGAATATCATTGCTCGCATCTTCCTCAACGGTCTCAACAACCTTCTGGAACAGAGCCTCCTGCCAGAAGGCCAGTGCGCCGTCATCGCGACACCATCGACATGACCTTCGCCGCACAACAACAGCAGAAGAAATTCCAGGAGATGCAGACCCATCTCTACTCTGCCTTTGTGAATCTGACGAAAGCCTTCGACACGGTGAATCCTTAAGGGCTGAGGAAAACTATGCAGAAATTCGGCTGTCCCGAGAGGTACACTCAGATATTGTGTCGCTTTCATGATGGCGCGCTAATTGTGAGAGTTTTAAATACCGTCAAAGGCCGTTCATAAATCGTCATGTCTCTGCATTTACCAATGTGGCTTGTAAAGTCAACAATATGGATCAAATTCTCTGCTTAGTTTCAATGAACCCCCATATGGTCTTTTCCTAATATGTAGAGAAATGTATGGCTTCCCGTACGCGGAAAATATACGACTTGTAGTTTGGGAACCCTGAATCCAAGTGTGACGGTAGAGTGGGTTCAAAATTATTCGGAAATTGGTAAACCTTTTGAAAACCGAATTATATCCCTCCTTCGAGTATAAAATTGGAAGATAACGTAATTGTCTACTGAGTGAGAAAATGAATCAATATTTTTGTGCATGTTTCCTGTGAAATATAATTGGACTTTTTAGGACATTGAAAATTAATGAGAAAAATCCATTCTGCTTAATTAGTCATTTTATACAGAGTGCAGTTTTTGCAAGCAGCCGGAAAAAATTCATTCTAAAATTGGTACCCTGAGGTAACTGAAATATCATAGAATTATTTTGCAGGTTGACTAATTTTACAACCTTACTTAATTAATCTTTTCGAAACGGGAACGCATTTCGGAATTTCGGTTGACATTTCATGAGTTAGCCCACCTACTGTATGTCCACAGCGACCGTCCGTGAACTTTTCTCTACTGAGAATTGCGAACTTAATGCAGTCACGGAAGGGACACGCAAAAGAGCATTGACCTTTTCGTCGCCGATTGCGACAACGTCGGCCTAGTCATAAACAGGGAGAAAACAGTGGTTATGCACCGGCTGCCACTAAACGCCGCTTACAATGGGCTCTAGACCAACTGGAAGGGGCATTAAACTGTAAACCGTGGAAACCTTTGTCTACCAGGGCAGCGCCATCTCCCGCAGCATAAAAACTGACGACGAAGTGGCTCACCGGATCCCCAAGGCCAAACAAGCATTCGGTCGCCTGCAAAGCACCGTCTGGAACCGTCAAGGTCTACATCTCAACACAAAACTGAAGATGTACAAAGTAGTCATCCTGCTGACGCTGCTGTATGGAGTGGAGGTCTGGGCGGTGTACAAGAATCAGGCGCGGAGACTTCATCACTTCCATGTCGGCTGTTTATGACGGACGCTGAAGCAGAGTTGGCAGGACCGGATCCTGGAACGGACGTACTGCAACGAAAGGTAATTCCCAGGAGTTATGCTACGATGAGACAATTTTAACTGCGCTGGAGCGGCCACATCGTGCGGATGGGCGAAAAGCGGCTACCCAAACGACTCCTTTATGCAGATGTCGCTATGAGTACTAGTCGACAGGGAGGTCATGTCCGGCTTTAAGATGACATTAAGGACTTCATTGAAGCGCCTACAGATTGACCGAGCCAAATAGGAAGACCTTTCCCGGGACCGACCGGCCTGGAAGAGGACATGGAAGACATGCACAGCGATCTACGTAGCTGACCGAGTAACCGACGCCTAAGCAGAAAGCGAAGCTAGAAAATCCCAACTACTTCCGCGTATCAACGCCAACGCTCAACCGTCCCCAATATGCCCATGGTGTCACCGAACGTTTCGGACACCAGCCGGTCATGTACGGCACCTTCGGACCCAATGTGCCAACAACCCGACAACATTTACTCATTCGCCACAAATCCCGCGTCGACTGCCAACCCCTGTCACCGCCGACCATAATTTCTCTTCTCCTCCGCCGTCAACCACTAACATTATCCGACCTACCCCAACGCCTGCGTACACCACCACCACCACCACCACCACAACCACCACCACCACCACCACCACAACGACACTGCACACTCTCTCCAACGAAGGGGCGACGTCCGACGTCCCACTACCTTCTGCCATCACCACCAACACTCTCACATTCAGCGATGTGGACTCAGCTCATACCTGTCCTCATTGCGTTTTCGCCTTCGCCTGGCCTGGCCGGTCACTTGCGAATCCACCGCACAGAGGTTGGCGAACCGGTGCCTGGAGCGCCAACCTGTACTCGCCGCATCTCTCTCCATTGCCCACACTGCCTCCGCACATTAAATCACCGCACGGTCCTACTCAGTCATATGCGTATCCAGGACAGCGGAATTCACCGCACTATCGGCACACCTAGCACATCTTGCGCATCCACCTTGCCTAGCCCAATCCAAACCCCATCCCCCATTGCGCCCACAACCAGCCGCTCCACCAAAACCACCGCCAACACCACCACCACCACCACCACCACCGAAACCGACTCTGACACTGCTGATCTATGTTATTCTCACCGTCCCGTGCGTTCACCTCGCAATCGGCCTGGTCGATAATTTGCGAATCCATCGCACAGATGCTGGCGAACCGGTGCCTGGAGCACCAACCTACCCTCACCTTATCAGCCTCGACTGCCCTCACTGACCCAGCATATTCACCCACTAAATGGGTAAGTTAGATCACATGCGTATTCATGAAAGCCTGCAGTAGACAACCGCTGGCTACCCACAGCATCACATTTCCACCAACCAGCACCTACACCACACAACAACCTCACCCATCGCCACGCAACGCTAGCCCTCAATTGCCACCCCTCAAGAAAGTGGGAAGTGTGCCTTTCGGCAGCTTCTCCGTGCGGCTTCTCAGATGCATACGTGGCCGAGTCTGAGCTCCTCGTGGTGCGCCATGTGCCGCGTCTAGGAAAGCTGCCCACTGACACCTCAACTCAGTCCACGCGGACTGCTCAGTTGTGTGTGTGTGTGTGTGTGTGTGTGTGTGTGTGTGTGTGTGTGTGTTTGTGTGGAGTGGCAGACTGGTTGGCTGAGAGTCAGACTGCAATGACTCCTTCTTAACGTGGCCTCTGGCACTCTCGCACATGTAAGGAGCGTGTGTTTTATGGGTAGTTCCTCTCAGTCGAAGATTGACTGGTTAGCTGACCTTTGAAGGGTGTTGGCCCAGACTGAGTGCTGGGCTGTGTGGCACTCTTCTGGGCCTTAGGGTTTGTGTGAGTATGCTGAGCCATGTTACAGCAAACCGTCACTCTTGCAGCCTGAAATTCTCTGGCACCTGGTTCTCTACCGACAGATGCGCTACTGCTCCCGCCGACTGTGCAGGTCTTGAAAATGGTTGCCCTGTCATCCTCCTCTTTCTGACTCCTTATTGTGTATTTGTTGATTATATTCCTGGTCAAGTGTTTGTTGGGAACCAGAGGGTCAGGAATGGTGCGCCTAGGTGCGGGCCCGGCCACGCCATCCACCTGCACCCTCCCCTGCCTTCGGTCTCCAGGACTCTGCCTTGACACCGGTCACAGGTGGGGGCGGAGAGAGTGCGGTAGATGCTGCGCAAGTCTACACCGTGTCTGCTTCACCTTGCTACGGAGAACACGGTGGACATCGTCGACAACGATGGTCGAACTATTCTACGAGCAAGGTCATCTGTATAGCCTGAGTGGGTTCCTATCCCCCTGTCTAATCGAAGGGCATAAGAATTTTGTTCTGGAAAGTCAATTTTGGCAAACTTACGCTCTTTATTATTCGTCATCAGACATGTGCAGTGAAGGAGAAAGTGGCAAAGGTTAAGCAACCAATAAAATTCATTGTGGAGGCGAGGGCTGATGGGTGTTCAGAGGTCGGGTTTCAGTGTCTAATTCTGTCAGGGGTTTAGGGTGGGTTGGAAGGCGTCTGACGACTGGCTTTCCTCGTTTAATCGACGTAACGCGATGTGGCAAGTGTGAACGCACGTGCTAGGTTTGTCTTTGACCAAGGGAGCCTTAGGTTTGTAGAAACGATTTATGCGAGCGCAAGGTTGGGTTAACTAACTGTATGGTCGCTGACTCTGTCGGCGGAAGTATCAGCTGACGCAGGAATTCGGAATGTCTCGCCGGCACTTCATAGGTAACTGGGGAAGGCTTGGTTGACCTCCATCCGGTGGCCGCTGTCAACCAAGTTGGCCACAGTTGCGTTAGGTATACGCTTTTCTATACCTTGATTTAATCACACAAGATGGTGTTCTTGCATCCGGTTGGATAGGCGCCTGGTTATTCGACCAATATGACCCCCCCCCCACAAAAGCAAGTGAAGGCGTATATGCACACTGAAAAGATTTTAAAAGACGGTTTATCCTTAACATTAAGGCGAAGGAGTGGAGTGCTTGTGAAAACTAGCCTTAACGTCTGGGTAAGTGCACGCGATATCAGCGTTCGCTCGCCGAGTCCTCTCGAAATGGCAGATGTCAGAACATCAGATTTTGAAGGGCTTTCTTCCGCATATTTGTTGGTAAACTTATCTGGATATCCGTTTTCTCTCAGAGTGTTTTGTATAACGGCGAGCCCATTCGCAAGCATATCTGGGTGCCTATTCTCCCAGCCCGGTTTGTGAGGAAGCCGACCTAGCTTCGTATCTGGCTTAGCGGGGCTAAAATGGGAAAATTTGGGTTTGCCCTGTCTATTTTTTGCAAATTACACTTCTACTAGTTGTTCCATTCGATTTTATAGGAGGTCCAGAAAGGGGAGGTACTCTTCCTTCTCTCTTTCCAAGGTGAAGGTTAACGCTGAATGAGCCTGATTCCCTTTATACAGAAGGTTTTTCAACTCAAGCTTTCTATCCGTTATTTCCAAAATGTCATCATCATATCGAGCATAGAAATAAAGGTCCTTCGCAAATGGACCAAGCTAGTAGAGGTTCGACGGAGTGATACCACCGCTAGGCCGTCGAATTGTCCGTAAAATTAACCATCTTATCTTAACTGGACATTTAGTATGTAGCAAAAGAGCAATTCCACTAGGTCTCCGACCGGAAGACCGATTTGTATGTCTTACGGAGTCGATGAATTCAAATAAATCCCGTAAGCTACGTGGCGCTATTCTGTGTCAAATCGGCTTGAGCCTTTCTGCAAACAACTTTGTAATTACGTGATAGGGTGAATTACTCATGTCTAATATCGGCCACATCGGAAAGTCTGGTTTATTATTTGTTGGCAAATTATATAGCCTGGCGGATATTGTACCTATGGATTTAAAAACTCCGAACTCTTTTCGCCAAGAAAACTTTAGTCTTTCGATTTCCAAAGACATTTTGTAAGTTGAACTTCTACGCTCCCTGTTTGGTCTGTATTTCACCTCTCTCTTGTGAACCTAGTGTCATCAGTCAGGGTCACCAGTTTTGACGTTCAATGACCCCGATGACGCTAGGACAAACAAAATTTCTGCACTTACCCGGCGCAGAGAGAAGATCGCCAGATGCAGTCAGGTGTACGCGTATCATCATTCTCTGCTACTGCTGCTGCCGGCTTGGCACAAATTTCCCTGCAAACCTTACAGCTCCTAAAACTTCCGCTGTGCCTTCTTTGTTCAGCAAAACATCGCCGACAGGAAGCCAGAGATGCTGCAGATGCTCCAGTGACCGACCACGGGCTTAAGTCAACCTTTCCGCCATCTACGTGTTTCCTGCTACAAAAAGGCAAACCTCGTTAGGACCACAGGCCACACGCATCCAGTTGTCTGAACTGGAAACAGACAGCCAGAAAGCATTAACCAATGATGTTGTATCCAATTCCGAGAAAATCAGGAAGCTCAGTGGCCACGCGTTCCTCCCTCACTCCCCCCTCTCGCCCCTGGTGTGATTCTGACCAGAGTGCGTACAGTTGGATGAGTTAACTTTCTCCAGGCGGCGGCGGCAGAAATAGTGTTGCAGGGCAGCGTTTTCGAAATAGATGCCACCGTTTTCCATTGGGCGGTTATAGTATACACAGGCTCAGGTGTTCTACCTTGACAGGCAACAGGGCTCACAACTGCCCCACGAGGTGACGCTACCTTGGCTTGTGCCGCGGCTATGTCAGTCTCTCGTCCCACGTCTACCATGCTCTGGTAACAAGGCAAAGTCGAGAGGACCAGAAATGGGCGTGGGCACGCTTGCCGACAAAGTCCCACAGCCCGTCTACGCGTGCCACACACGATCTAATCCCTAAATGCTGCGGGCTTCCGGCGGGAAAAACATTATTTTTCCTTTATTTTCCTCCATATACACTGGTAATCCGCTAAACTTGTAACTGACTGGTTATTTGACTGACCACAGACGTCATTTATCCCGCGCCAAACACAGAAGCACAGATAGTTGCAAATAGTTGACTCTGCCGCCCTCGGACGACTGTTTGGTTACCCAGCCTTTAAGTATGATGGCCCAGGTTAACGCGGGGTCACGAGTCACCCTACTGGGCCTAAGGATCTGTAAACGCCTGCTATGCCAGAGGTAGCTAACTATGGCTCCCGAAGCCTGATAAATGTTGACAGTTCTCTGGCATTATCGCTCTTTAATTTCCTCAGGAATTATCTACGAAGTTGAAGTCGGTCAGTTTATTTAAGGTTTGTAGGCTCAGACCGAGAATTCTATGCATGAATATTTGGGCCAAAGTCCCTCAGCCATATCGGGTAACCGCGTAATATTCATTACCCTACGACAGGCAGCTAGTTGTATGCTTTAGGGTAGGGTGATGCTATACTAACAGCACAGGTATTAGCCATACTAACAGGTACTAGCTGTTAGTATGGTATTACCTTACCCTAAAGTATACTACTATCTGCCTGTCGGGAGGTAATGAATATTACGCGGTTACCCGCTGTGGCTGATGGACTTTGACATACATATTCATGTACAAAATTCTCGGTTGTGCTTATAGACCATGAATAAACTTATCCACTCCAACTTCGTAGATGATTTTTGAGGAAATTAAAAAACGACAATTTCTAAATTGAATTATCTACCAGAAAACACACGGGGAATGCTAGGGGACCTACTGGCGAGCCGAACTCTTCACAGCTGCGTCATGCAGCGACAAAAGCATCGGCGAAACACGCGTGTATGTGCTTGGCTAGCACCTGTGATGTCAGTATAGTTTCACCTTACCCTAAAGTTATCTAACGGCTGGTTCCCTGTCCGTAGATGCGCTTGAGCTCCCGCTTGAGTATACAGATCGTGAGCGTAGCTGCCCCGTCATCCTCTTCCTACTGACCTGTCATTGTTGGTTAAAATCTTGGTCAGTTTTTATGTGGACCAGGCAGTGTGGAGTGGAACGTCAAGGTGCGGGTCTGGCCGCGCCATTCACCCGCGTCCTCTCCCGCCTCCGGTCTTCTTGACTCTGCCTCGAAACCGGCTCCAGGTGGGGAAGAAGGAGAGAGTGCGGTAGATACAGTGCGTGACCTATCTCATGAAATGTTGGCAGAAATTCTGAAATGCGTTTTCGATTAGGAAGGATTACTTGGTCGCGGATGTAATACTGATTATCGTAAGGCATACTCTTACTACATTTTGGACTCGGCAGGATGTCGGCTTGAAAATGCATTTCTTTTCAATCTCCTGTAGAAAGCGTGCTCGGTAAAAAACGACTACTTAAGGAGCATGCATTTTTCCCATCGACTTTCGATGGCCTTGGAAATTCAAATATATTTTAAAGAAACCACAAACAAAAATATCCTTTATTTTAGTCAATCAATAGAAAATCACGTCTTCTTTATGTTTTATACTTAAGGATGGAGTATAATTAGGTTTTAAAAAGGTTTTCTAATTGCCGAAAAATTTGGAGCCTGATCATTCGTTGAATTAGCGCTTAGTGATTTCAGTCTACAAGGTGCATTCGTTCCGCGTAAAGAAAATCCCATATTTTTCTACGCCATTAAAGAGATATCATACAGGGTCCATAAAATTTTACAATGGATGCGGACGATGTTGTTCATTTCATGAGAAGCAGTGGTAAACGGCCAGGTACGATGCTATGAGAATGGACATTTCGTGGTCTCAAAAAGTCTCATAATTAGAAAATTTTTTAAAACCTTATTATACTCCTTCCCTAAGTATAAAATATAAAGAAGACGTGATTCTCTATTGATTGACTAAAATAAAGGATATTTTTGTTTGTGGTTTCTTTAAAATATATTTGAATTTCCAAGACCATCAAAAATCAATGTGAAAAAAGCATGCTCCTTAAGAAGTCACTTTTAACCGAGCACGCTTTCTACAGGAGATTGAAAAGAAATGCATTTTAAAGCCGACATCCTGCCGAGTCCAAAATGTTATAAGAGTATGCCTTACGATAATTAGTATTACAACCGCGACCAAGTAATCCTTCCTAATCGAAAACGCATTTCAGAATTTCAGCCAACATTCCATGAGATAGGTCACGCACTGTACATCTCAAGTCTACACTTACTACAAACTAATTCGCGTGAATGTCACCGTGATTGTTTCGCCCCGCACTGAAGCAAACGATGGACATCGTCGGCGATGACGGTCGAACTGTCGGACTTAGCTTTACATTGTTGGGGGTAGTTTTGACTGTTAGCGAGCTGGTCAGACGAAATGACGCAGAGGTCTACTCGATGAGAAATCAGGAGCAGATGAGAGACAATGGAGCCCGGCCCCCGACAGAGTGAAAGTGCACCAGCCCTCACGTGTCACGAGGATGTGCGATCGATTAATTCGCTCGGTAACCGCAGTAGCTTAGAGCCCTTGTATATACAGCGCGATTGGGGTGAGTCAAGAAGTAAGGACTGTCTCGCAGAAAATGCCATTTTCCAGCTCTATGAGTTTAATTGCTTCTTATTTCCTGCCCTGTCAATAGTTCTAAAACTACGAACATTGCTCATTGTCGAGCTCTGCCGCCCCGTGCAGAACGTACACTTGGCATCGCAAAGGTGGTCATAAAACGCAAACACAGTCTACTTGACTTATTTTTACTCAAGTGTGAAAACCTCGGCGATCTCAAAAGAATTCGAACCCACGACAGCATGGGGATGACTTGAGTAGATCTAACGCTCTAGCCACCAGAGTTACGAGACCTCACCGCGAGCCATGAGTTTAAACACATTTGAATCAAGTTATTCGCTAATTGATCGGAGGGAGATATAGGCGCACCTTGTCGCTGGCTTCATTTGCGGGAACCGTCCAGGGTGGGCACGTAAGTCACCAACTGCTGTATTTTCAAGCTTCTCAAAACTTCGTCGTCGGCAGGGAAAAAGTGTATCCCTTGCCACAGCTAGGTTTCCTCTCAAAACTCCAGGCCCTAAGACTGCTTTCCTGTCGTACTGATTCTCTGCCAACTGGTCGGACTAGAAAGGCCCCACTAAGTCCAATATGTGTGTGCCTAATCGTCTTAGTCAGTCCGTTATACGTCGTCCAGACCCCGGCACTTTTCTGTGAGTGAAATTTCTCCTTTTTCACCCCTTTCACGGACTTTTGCAATAATGCTGCAAAAACGACCTAGTTACGGGACGGAACAGGTGCATTCCGTTTTTGCCTAGGAGGCGGAGGTTGGGAGGGGGGGGGGGACAGGGCGGGTTGGTTAATTTGTTCCCTAACATGCACCCAGTGGATTAAGCCTCGCACTCGCATTTCGTGAACGGTTTACGTTTCGGGAGTTTCTCTTTCTCTCTCACTCACTGTTTACGCGCAGAAAGGTGTGATCCAGCTCCGCGAAGGAAGGAACTATTGCGCACCGGTCCATGCATAATAACAACATCCTGACCAAAGTCCACATCATTGCACTCTCGATAACGTAAGCGATAAGGATAGCACAAAGTGCGTACCCAAAGCGAAGAAAACAGCCGGCAGCCCTGAATCGAGTCATTTTCTGAGAGAAAACAACGCCACGAGGAAAAGAAAGAAAAGAAACCTACTGAAATAGTAAATGTAAGTAGCGTGATCGACCATGGCCGGCCACATTGCTTTCGCAATGCGGGCAGTCGCGGCGCTGACTGTATGAATGCTAATATCACTGTACCTGCGAAGTCAGTCGATCAGACAAGAACTCAACAAGCTACCGCACTAAGGTCCGGCCCGCGTGTCAAGTTGCAAGAGTGCATTTACAGCTAGCAGCTGATGGGCTGAGGGATGAAGTGAATACGGTCTGCCGGTCAGATGTGGTTATGTAGCCCCACCTGATGGACACAATATTGCTGGGGTTGCGATTAGGGTTACGGGTTGGGGGTTAGGGGGTAGAGGTTAGGGTTAGGGTCGGGGTTGGGGTTGGGGCAACTCTTTCTCAACCACTCAAAGTACAACCGCGCATCCCCAATAGCCTTTCTTTTGCATACAATTACTTGACTTCGTCGCCTGTGCGTTCCCCGGCCCCACCTATAAAAACTCCTATTAACGCCGGTCCCGCATTACAGGTGGCTGGGGTTTGTTTACTTCAGGTGGGGCAACAACATCATACCTCATCGGTCTGCCTTCTGGGTCCCGTGGTAACCCGTGGACCGTTTTTTGTAGTCAGATTAAGTTAGTTTATTAAGGGAATGAGGCTTTTGCCTTTCAGCTCCCTATTCATATCGATAAAAAGAAATAGAATCGATTGTCCTATCAGCAAACCTGTAAATTCAAAAGTTGACGGTTTGTGTGAGCCAGGCGCAAACTTCCGCCACAAAAACAATTGCGATTATATGTACAGTAGTTTCTTAGCAAATGAATGTCTGGTCTGCACTTAAAGGATTCAACAGTTTCGGAAAGAATCACCACATCAGAGAGTCGATTCCGTGCCCCGACGACCTTGTGAGAGAAGGCGTTCTGTCGGACGTCCGAATGAGCCCGCTTCCTTTACAGTTTGAAGGGATGACCACGCGTACGGTCAGTCCCGGCCAATTCGAAGAATTCATCATAGTCTATGGCACACTCACGGCTTCTGACAATCCTGTAGGTTTGAATGAGGTCGCCGCGCAGTTGCCTGTAATTTAGAGGAAATAGATTTAGTTCGGTCAGCCTAGTTTCGTAAGGCAAATGATGAAGATTCTTGACCATCTTCGTTGCCATCGCCTGTACTCTTTTCATTTTTCGATAATCCTTTGTCAACCACAGTCGCCAGGCCCGGACTGCATACTCTAAGTGCATACGACAGCCACATAGGATACTTAGCTCTACCGTTGTCTTTTCTTAAATTCTTGATGGCATGGAAATTTACCAGCGGCAGTTAATCCAAATTCCGTTTATTTTTGAAAATTGATTTCGTTTATTTTTTTTTTGATTCTCGCAATCACTTTTTTGTCATATGACAGCGTAAAATAAGACCTTAGACAGAAATTTAATTATTTCCTGTATTTTCTTGAATTCCACCTGCTCTTCGTTCAGCTTGCTGCTTCACCCGTAAAACTGCCTCTACCCCAATTGCCGTATGACACGGTCCACAGGCCACCTGAAATTAATTGGGGTCGTACACCCTACCGTTGCCTATCCTATTCGCGGAATCTCATTCTCGGTGCGCTTTCTGTTTCCCTCCCGGCTTCACTAACGGATTCAGTGGCTCCCACTGTGGGTATTTTATTTTCCTATACCTAGTCCAATAAGGCTGTGACGTGTAAATCTAAAAGGCATGAGAAAACGCAATACAGGGTGTCTCAGCCAACCGACCCATTTCCGCCGTATTTTCCGCTATGTACGGTAATTTCAGATGGGAGAAATAATCGATGTGTCTTAGAAAGCGCTGTGATTGGTTGGACCAGACAGACTCGGCTAGTTGCGTGCTCATCTCTTGTCTAGGTGGCTGAAAATAGGAGTCACAAGGCCTGTTGTTTCACTGGGATAGGGAATTCGCACTTAAAAGACTAACTGTCGCCCTGCCAAATGCACTTTTTGCACACGTGGCTGTTTGGAAATAAGCCAAATTCCTGAAGTTCAAAAAGGAACTCCCAAAACAGCCCATAAATCATCAAAAGGACCTCTGCAGAAGGTCAGTGCGTTTTGACAGAAGCCGGGTTTGTTTTCACCGGCCTAGAATGCCAGCCAGCGGACGAAGCAAAACACGAGTTGCTAATTTTAGTAACTTGGAGTACTCGAAGGCCACGAACACGACTGCTCCGACAGAGTTTGCAAGAATGCTGAAGAAAATTAAGATGCCTCGTAAAAGACACTGGTCAAGTGAAGAGTACAACTGCTCGAAGATGTTTATGAGTAGGCTTTTCACTAGTACTGATTGTGGCTTAGAAGGACGACCACCAGAACTCTGCCTAAAGGAATAATAAGCACATCATAAAGCGCTAAGGAGCACTCTCAACGACAGAAGTAAATTTATTGTTGGGAAATTGCTTTCGTGCAAGATGTCATGCAATATAGGAAGGCTAGATGATAACTCAAAGTCCCACCAATAGCCGGGAGTCAGAGATCTGGACTGGGTCGAAATCTTTCACCGAAGTCAAAGCCCCAGATCGTCTCAGCCTATTCAACATCAGAAAGTGCAAAGAAACAATCACGCAAACCCTTCTACGTCTGTCTTGAAGTCCTCAGCAATCACTACTCGGTCATATCTATTAAAAGGCCCGTAGGAAGTCTAGGAAAGTCATTCGACCAAAACGGAGGCCGTGTGTTCCAGTGAACAAAGACAGGGAAAGAGGAAATCGCTTTATATTAAAATTACAAACTCAAAATTTTCCGCAAAAATAGGCCTCATTCACTGTAGGCAGTAAATAAGATACTAAATTACTCAAGAGGCAAAATATTTGCGCAAAAGTATTAAATATTATGCGGACAATTCGAGTCTCAGCTTCTGTATTTATGCCTCTTCACACGTAAGATAGCGCGCCAGGAATGGCAACAGTGAAGGTCGATATGCCGATGTACGACAAGAGATAAGTCGAAAGCAACGGCATATGGAGCGGAAAGACTTCGCAGAGATAAAATCAGAATGCAGGGGATGGGTAACGCTATCCAAAATTCTACCTGCAAATTGCTTGACCGTTTTTAAATGCCGTTGTAGGATAATATCGACTATAAAGGCATAAGAAACACCGCCAGCAGAAGAGTGCATTCGGAGGACTCCTTCTAAAATCAACAGATATTTTTTGAGCAAAGAAGGAATAATTACGGGAGAGCAACAAAGAATAAGAAGAATGTATGCAAAGTATCCTTGTAGGTACCAAAGCTACCCTGGACTTAGCACTTCTCTCCCTGGCTTCTCCTCTGAGTAGCCAATATTACTTAGAAAGCGGGTGTTGATCTAATTAGGCGCTGAATTTCTCGTTGATCAGGTTTAGAGGCATTCACGTCATCTTTCTCCTTGGGGCCCCATTTAGAACCATTGCAGACTGTCACACACCAACCACTAATTATACAGGAATACCTACCAACGAAGACGGGTGAGACTAGGATGGTCGTTTCCAGCTTCTCAAATACATATATTTGTTCACCCTCTCCCCCCCCCCCCGAAAACGAGCCGCGAGGAAGATGCGCTGCAAAAACACAGGGGTTAGGTGGGAGTTTGGCCGGCGTTATCGGGAATGCGCAACCATAACACATCGCAACATTGGGGTATGTTGACAGCCCCCCCCCCGTTGCCGGTTTACTTCGCGCAAATTTGTATCCGGACCGCTCCCCCATTTGCGTTTTGGGGCAAAATTCTGATCATTGTACACTGTAGACCGGGGGGGGGGGCTTGGCAGTACGCCCAAATGCGGGGGTTCACGGCGCCAGCCGCCTGCCTCCTCTTTCGCCTCCCATCTTCTTGACTATGCCTTGACAGCATATCTAGCGGGAGGGAGGAGGATAAAGTGCAGCGGACGCTGCTCAAGTCTGCTATCACCATAGACTAGTTCACGCGCACGTCGCCGCCTCGCTCTCAGCATGCTTTTGAGCAACCGGTAGACCTCGTCAGTAACGAAGGTCGAACGGTCACGCGTACTTGTATTTGCCAGTTATACCTCCCGCAAAAATAATTGGTTGCTATGAGGCCGTTGCGAGGACACCAGATTGAAGAAGGAGACACGATCGCCGGGACAAGAGCTTTATTAGTCTGACGTTTCGGATTCCTACTCGAATCCATCATCAGAGACAAAAGAGCAGAAACGGGTGGTTGTTGCACAAGGGGCTGCGGTATTTATAGGATGCAGCAGCCATGCTACCGCCTGCCTATGAACGTTCACGGCTTCCCCCTTCATCCGGGATTGTCACACTTGGGGTGATCATTGCTTGATGGCCGACATTCGAGTCGATAATTGCCGCAATTTCATCACGTGCGTTGGATGTTGGCGTGATGACTGCTCGACTATCTGATGCGTTGACCCGAGTGTTGGGAAGAGTGTTCACCAGTGCGCTCCCCGCGTGGCCAATTACTCCGCCTAGACGAAGTCTCAGCACGCTGTATTGAATGGGAAGATCGTTGCACTTGTTGATGGACTGGGGGCCAGTAAACCATGATTCCAGTAGCTCTCGGCTCACGCGGTTGTCACCTCTTGCGAGAATTTCGGCCTCATCGAATTTAAATGTGTGGCCGGGTCTCGTCGAATGGGCCGCAACTTGAGAGCTGGCGTCATTTCTGCGCACCGCTGCCGCGTGTTCGGCCATTCTCCTTCGGAGCTGTCTTCCTGGTTTGTCCGACGTAGTTGCCTTGTCCGCAACTGCACCAGATCCGATAAACGACTCCAGACGTTTCTAGCCGTGGCAGTGGGTCTTTCGGTTTCATGATCAGACGCCTGATGGTTGCCTCCGGTCTGTGTGCCACTCCAACCCCAAGTGATGCGAGAAGGCGGCCGACAGCTTCCGAAACGTTCTTGACATACGGAAGTGCCCGCCAAGACTTGGTGTCCGTGCGGTTAGGCCTTTCGTCCCTTTTGCGTATGCACCGGTCGACGAAGTTGCGCGGGTAGCCATTGGCTTTGAAGACCCGTCGGAGGTATTGTAGTTCAGCAATTTTGTCTTCCGGCTCACTGCAGTGCGTTTCGACACGCCGATAGAGCGTCCTTACACAACTGCGTTTGTGGCTGATTGGGTGGTTACTGTTGAAGTTCAGTACTTGCATCGTATTTGTCGCCTTCCTGAACAATTTGGTCTTTAGTCCACCACGATCCTTGCGGCATACGAGGACATCCAGGAAGGCCAGCTGGTTGTTCTCTTCCTCCTCCATCGTAAATTGAATGTCCGGGAAGACGGCGTTGAGATGTTCTTGGAATGGCAACACCTGATCCCGTTCGATGACGACGAAAGTATCATCCACATACCGGGCCCAGAATTTCGGTCTGTGGTGTTGGAAGACCAGCGACTCTAACCGTTGCAGGACCGCCTCGGCGACGAATCCCGAAATTGGCGAACCCATTGGTGTGCCCTTCACCTGTTCGTAGATTGTCCCGTCGAACGTGAAGTACGTCCTGTGACAGAGCTTCAGGAGCTGAAGGATTTGGGCGTGTCCAAGACGGTTCTCCGTTTCAGCGTATTCGCCTTGTAGTAGCAGTTCAATTGTCTCGATCGCCAGGTCCTGGGGAATAGAAGTAAAAAGGGATGTAACATCAAAAGATACCATGACCTCATTTGGATGGATTCTTACCCCTTTGAGTTTCTCCAGGAATTGTGCTGACGAAGAGACCGTGATGTCTGACTCAGCGGTGAGGAACTTGAGACGCCGGAACAGCCACTTCGCCAGTCCGTACGTTGGAGTCCCTTTGAGCGACACGATGGGTCGGAGAGGAGCGCCGTCTTTGTGCACCTTAGGAGGCCATAGAATCGGGCCAAAGCCGTATCATCGAGCAGCGAAGTGGTCGGACAAAGGGCCCGTGGCTCAATGAGAGAGCGTCTAACACTCGTTGACCAAAGGGCCCGGGTTCGATTCCCGAGTTCTTCAAATTTGAATTTGACTATGTTTTGTGGACGACGAAAAAATTGGTGCTCGTTTCTGGGTAAGTTAGACATCTGCCCAGCCTTAACACTCTTCTACCTGGATCGTAGCTGAGTCTGCTGCCGTTTAGACTGATTCCCATGCACATGCAGCGTATAGCGGGAAGCAATCTGTGAGTTCTCTAATGTTCCAACATCTTGCGTCGGAACACCGAACAGTGAACTTTGAGCCTCCAGGCATTTTAATTGCCTTCCCTGGCGGACGCATTTTAAAAGTGTTTCGAGTAACATTATTGCGAGCGGATAGAATGAGCAAATGCACCTCGACTAACTGCGTGTGTTGCTGCAGGTCTGGACTGGTTCACAGCTGCTCGACGTAACAAAAGTCGATTGCACCAACAGCGCACGTAGCAGTCGAGATCAAGTTACGATAGAAGTTACCGCGTGCGTCCGTCAGAATGAGGTCCACACAACTGTATGCCGCCTGCCGCGAATTTTTTTGTCAGCTCAGTTCTCCACTACAGACCACTTACCTCCAACTTCTGATAGACGAACTGCCCACCGGACCTCCTATGGATACTAGGTCAAATGTCATTGGCTCTTTCACTTTTCGTTTGCAAACTGGTCTATATTCGGCACGCAAACGGTACGCCAATCGATCTTGTCATATTTTGATCGTACTACGGCCGTTTCGTTCTAGCACCCCCACGGGCAATCGAACGGAGAATCCCGATTACCTCGTGTATTTAGGGAGCTTAGGCGGAAGCCCCCTCCCCCTCCTTAACTGTCTGCATAGCAGGTGTACGCGGCTCGACGCCTAAGTTAAGCTGGACTTTAGTTCGGAGTTTCCACTGCCCGGGGTTGAATTTTAGCCGACTAACGACGTAAAATAGGCCTAGCGACAGTTCCAACATTCATCCTCGTGCCGACAACATTTCTCGTGTAGACTGACAAGGCGATTTAAATACCATCAGGTGTTGACGCTTTCAATCCTCCAATCTTTCCTCACGCCCTTAAGGACGCGTACAAGTACGCGCTTCATGCTTCAGGCTGTTTGGTGTTCCTAAGAAGTATTTGTTACATCTATTGGAGGGTTTTTGACCTTCCTCATGGCTATCTGCACGAATAATAATAATAATACTAATAATAATAATCATCAACGTACTAAGACGTCAATTATCAACATTTCTGAATCCAGTTCTCAATTAAAAATACTCCCCTCAAGACAGTAAATGCATGAAGTTCAAAGGCGGGACGCGAAATTTTACATTTTATGGTGTGAAATCACTAAAAGTATTTTAGTGGAACATGTGGAAGTAGTGAACAACTGTGCAGTTGGAATGCAACCTTGCCGCAGAGATGCAATGAGAGGCGGGTTGCACTCTCCTTAGGGAACCATTAAACCAGTCGGCATTCAGGAAGTCGCATGAAAGGGACCGAGAGCGTAGGTACGAGGAATCAGTCCGTCCACAGTTTCACTGACAAGAAGTGGGAGGGGAGGGACTTGGAAGGGCCTAATTATGACCTGTCTACAGCAGGTGTGTTACCTCAGGAAATGTTAATCGGAATTCTGAAATGCGTTTCTGTTTCGAAAAGATTACTTGAGTATGGTTTTAAAATTCATTATCATGGAGCATAATCCCATAATAATTCAGTCGCCTTGGGATGCCGGCTTTCGAAGGAACATCTTTCCAGCCTCTTGCGAAAACCACACTCTGTAAAAGTGACTACTTATGCAGCATAACTTTTTTTCGTTGATTTTCCATGTCCCAAAGATTCATTTATATTTCACGGAAACATGCATAAAAGCATTCACTCTTTCACTCCTTCGGTAGAAACTACGCTTATTCCTAATATTATACTCGAAGGAAAAGGCGTAATTCGGTTTTTAAAAACTTTTTCAATGCTCGAATAGTTTGAACCCGACCTGTCGTCACACTTGTATTCAAAGTTTAAAATCTAACAGTCATATATTTTCTGCGTACGGAAAACCATAAATTGCTCTACGGTATTAAATGAAGAACATATGGGGTTCATAAAATTTAGCAGTGGATTTGGACCATATTGTAACATTTACAAGCAACACTAGTAAATGCAGAGACACGCTGTTTTATGAACGGACATTTCACAGTACTAAAACTTTTTAAAACCTAATTATACATTTCCTTTGAGTATAAAATTGGAGAAAGACATGATTTCCCACCGAATGCGCAAAAGAATGAATATTTTATGCATATTTCCCATGAAATATAACTGGATTTTCAAGGACATCGAAAAGCAACGAGAAAATTTCCTGCTACTTAAGTAGTCATTTTTCACGGAGTGTGGTTGTTGCATGCGGTCGAAAAGAAGTTTTTTCAAAAGCTGGTATCCAGAGATAACCGAATTATTATGGGATTATGCTGCATGAGGCTTAATATTACAACCCAACCTAAGAAGTCTCTTCGAGTCGAAAACTCATTTCAGAATTTCGGTTAACATTTCATCAATTAGCACACCTAGCGTATTATCATCAGCCATCCGTAGAATTCCTCGACTTAAACCGTAGTTGCAGGAAATGCGCTCTCCAAACTCGTGGGTGGAATTCCACCGACCGTCTCGTATGAGACATCAACAGATGGACTGGCTGCAAATAAAATTGCCATTTCGATAGAACACGAGATTAGGAACTCCTACCAATGTAATAAAGATGACCGTGGTCTAAATTCCAGGAAGTTAGTGTTAGGGATGGAAGCGAATATGCGAATCCCGGGTTCTTGTTGTAAAGAAGATAAAGACCCGATCTCTGGGACTGTGGGTTTATTAGTCTGAGCTTTCGGTCTCGTACAGGAGGCCATCGTCAGAGACTGTTAGAAGGCAACATCAAATGAGCGGTTTTTGTTGTCACGCCATGAAGGGGGGGGGGAGATATGAGTGCAGAGGGTGGTATTCGCGATAAGTTGCGTCCCACGCCGTCTCACGGTGGCGTGACTGCGTGCACCCTTGGCTGGAAATTGGGTCTCGCCCCTTGGCCGCGGGAACGGAGCGCGTGATAGCAGGGGGGTATATCAGCGTGCCTGTTGATAGAGTTGGTGTCAGACACCCAGGCCTATAACAGTTCTCGTCCTGTCTTATTGCTGGCCCGTGCCACTATCCGCGTGCTCGTAAAGTTGAATTCGTGGCCTTCCTCCAGGGTGTGAGAGGCGACCTGAGACAACGGGTCGCCTCTCCGGACCGCCCGTTTGTGCTCCGTTATCCGTGAGCTAAGTCGTCGTCCGGTTTGTCCAGTGTAGTGGCGAGGGCAGTCCCGACATGGGATCTGATAGACGACGCCCGATTGTTCACCCACGTCTAGGCGATCCTTCACTTGCATGATTTTGCTGCGCATGGTCGCTGTCGGACGGTGAGTGATACCCACGCCGAGCTCTCCAGCGATACGTTCCATCGCTTCGGATACGTTCTTTATATATGGCAGAGGGTGCCAGAGTGTTGGCGGCTCTCCTCCGTTTGTTCGCCGTGGGCGCGTGCGGAGGCAGCGGCTGACGAAGCTGTTCGGGTAACCATTCCTTGCCAGTTGGTCCCGAAGATGCCGAAGTTCTCGTACTCGTCCCTGTACTCTTCCTGTACGAGACCGAAAGCTCAGACTAATAAACCCACTGTCCCAGAGATCGGGTCTTCATCTTCTTGACAGTAAGTGTTAGATTTAGAGTAAGGAGACAAAAAATAGGTACTCCTCTGGAGCTTGGTATAAGGCCACCTCTATCAGGCGCGGAGGGGGCTTATCTGCCAGCTCACATAATCGTCGGCGCCGTCGATTGCGCTTTCGGCGAGCCTAGCATGGCTGATAAGTACTGCCTACGCGCATGTTACTCAATCTTCGGTTCGTGACGCCGGTAATTATTCCTCACTTCACCGACTACCCGTAACCGGGCGAAGTTCGGACGCATGCATTCCGACCGACGCACACAAACCTGAAGAGGCAACTCGTTGGAACTGCATCCTTAGTCGCTCGTAAGCTCCTGTCCGATCCAATCTGCCTTTCCTAACCTGCAATTTGGGAATCCCCGTGTTGCCGAATCATCGTATCTCAGACAGGGCTCATATTGCGTGTCTTGGTACAATTTTCTTCGGTTGGGATCAAACCATCAATAGTGCCTAGAATAAGCTCCCAAACGGAGAATCGGGATATTATCATAATCATTCACGGGGTTTTGCCCTAAGGCGCGGACTAAATACCTCGCAAGATGGTCGGCGTTCCGTAATGTACATGAGTTCAGCAATTAGACTATCAACTTACCTCGTCGAAGCACACATCACTGGTAATGCCAAAAGCCTGCGATGGGAATGCTACCGAAAGACCAAAGGAAGTAGGTGGACAGGACCTTCCGCGGAATGAGACATTACTTAACTGCAATGTGCCATATGATCGAGAGGGGTGTTCACCGATTTAACCTAACTACATGATAAAAATCGGAACTTCCGTAATGCCGTGGACTTCCGAGTCGAGTCTAGCTAGACAGCCATCCAACAACTGATGGCGCAGGGATCAGGCCATTTTGATGGCAAAATACAGTGACACTGGAACGAGCAGTTCAGACTTATTTTACATATTCTGCCACGACCAAACCGAGCCTAGATGCTGATTCTTAGGCGCTAAGCGACCGCCCATTGGGGTTCTTTATCCGGAGCACCAAGACAAAAGAGGAGGTTCCCATAGTCCGCCTTGCCATCGGAGGGTGTCTGTCATAATAGCGTGAGCCAGGTGATTCGAGCGCGGGACTTATTTGCTAAAACACCGCGTGCGTCAGTACCTGGAATCCATGTATCATCAGTCGACTGCGTCAGCTATGTCAGGAATGGCTATTTCAGTAGGTAGTTGCCTTGTCGGTGACAGTTCCCGATCGTGTCAGGCCTCTCTCAAAGCTCTTTCCACTATCATTATACAGAGTCCCAGTTCTCTACCAATTCAGTAGTTCGATTTTCCAACTCTTCCGAAGTGGTTTTCTTATCTCTCTTTAATAAAGATCGCTGTCGCCCGATCGTCTGGTGATCAGGATACACGACGGATAACTGACACAAACTGAACACTCTGGCCACGTGGGACGGGGGAGTGGATGAACTGACTGCTGAAGACGAGGATGCAAGAGCGAAAAGCAACTGTGCGGCGGTTGGATTAGTAATGCCAACTCCGGCAACACACTACCTAGTCCGATCCAGGACTGATTTGAGAGGCAGAACTATCAAAAAATTACTCAACTTCATCGCCGCAGCAGACCGGCTAAAGCAGACACATCTTTAAACCACGAGCAAGACAATTGAGGGAAGTCGGTCACGGCTGCGGACAACAGAAATAGGCTGCCGCCAAATCGCAGTCAAACAAGAGCTCACTGCCCGACACAACAGGTTGCTATCGCGAACAAAGATGTTTGCAGTGTGCACCACGGAGGGTGGCATGTGAGTGAATTAGATTATAGCGATGGCAGACTTGCACAGCATCTACTGCACTCTTTCTTCGCCCATCTACCTGCCTCTGATGACAGGGAGAGATCAGTACGACCGGAGGTGGGTTGGGGCGCAGTGACTGAAAAAGATAAGCAGCTCGCTTACACGTACAACGCGCGATATTGCCTCCGCACAAGCTGTCGGGTTCTCATGAAGGGCGGGGGCACGAACCCCACCCAGGTGGAGTGCCATAAGAGCCACAATTAGGAGCCATTTGGCCCGAATCTTCGTCCTGAGAGAACCGAGTTGCCCAGTCACTTAGCAGCATTCTTATTCGCGGCTTTCAGCGCACCGTGGTAGTTTAAAAGCGCGTCAGGTTATTTATAGTAAAGAATGTGCGCCGAAATGCCGTGTTGATAGCCACCCGCCCCCCCCCGCGTAGTAAACCTCACTCTTCACTGTCTTATGCACCAGTCACCCGTCCGAGCATGTCAGCAATCTGGTGTTGGGATTGGGCGCAGTGGTTGGCGCGACGTAAAGTCTGCGCCTAGACGTGCGGCAGTAGTTACGGGCTGGCGCGGACCCCGTGAGATCTAATTTGTGCGTGTCGAGACCCCCTCTATCTCCCTTTCGGTTCACCGCTCAAATCCCATTCAGTATGCAATACGCAGCCACCACCTGTGACTAACCGGGATGGTTGAAGCGATAAATACCATGATGTTAGTGAAGCAGGGGTTATACGAGGGACCGGGGTGTAGGGGTGTCAGCGGTGGGTTCACGTAATGGTCGTGGTGGTCGCTCACTTGCTTGCAGGTGAGACTGCGCCTAGCGTCCACTTGCTGACACTCAACTCTCACCTGTGGCTCCTCGTAGCTGGACTCTGCTCAGCGGCCACACCCGGGCAACCGTCTCCACCGGCGGGCTAAACCAGGTGAGGGGGCCCTGTGTGATGTGCCGTGTGCACAGGGTTTGCGGATTCCGCTGGATGGAAGGTCGAATGGAACCTTGCGTCGGCATCGTCGTGACGTGGTTCGTCTCTGCACGCCGCTGGACAGCCGGTGACGGGATGGATCTCCACATCGACATTGCCTTGACGCGTCCACCTACGCCGTCGGAGACCGCGGCTTATGGCGAATTCGAGTCGCTTTCCACTACAACCCGAAGTCGTGGTCCCATAGTGGAGTTCGGCCGTGCCACAACGGCACATGGCAGCCCTATTCGGGGATGGCACTGCCAGCCCCCACGAGGGGAAGGGCCTAGAAAAGGTGGCCTTAACATTGCTGAGTACCACGCCGTCTCCAGGCTAGCCAGGGCCGCAGACGTCTAATCATGGACGAAACAATCAAAATCGAAACAACAACAATAGTAATAACAACCATACTCATTCTCCTCATCCTACCTCTTCTTCCTCTTCCTCTGCCCATTCTTCTCCTTCGTCACCTTCTTCTCCATCTCCTTCCCGTCGCCCCACTCGTTGTCACCAGACTGGCAGGGTGAGCCCGCTCACTCTGGCAGCCTGGAATGTTCGTTCCCTTTTAGACAATCCGAGGAGCAACCGACCGGAACGGAGGACGGCGCTAGTGGCACGAGAACTGGCGCGCTACAAGGTGGACATCGCCGCACTCAGCGAGACCCGATTCTCCGAACAAGGCCAACTGGAGGAGGTGGGTGCCAACTACATCTTCTTCGGGAGTGGTCGACCCAGGGCAGAGCGACGAGACGCAGGCGTCGCCTTCGCCATTCGGAACGACATCGTGGGACGACTGCCCTGTCTGCCGCAGGGAATCAACAATCGCCTGATGAGCCTCCGCCTGCCTCTATGGGGAGGCAAATTCGCCACCATCATCAGCGCCTACACTCCGACGATGACCAACCCCGACGCCGTCAGAGACAAATTCTACGAGGACCTGCACGCCCTCTTGGCGACTGTGTCGAAGGCGGACAAGTTGATTGTCCTTGGTGACTTCAACGCCCGCGTCGGCACAGACCATACTGCCTGGAGAGGAGTGCTGGGTTCCCACGGTCTCCGCGGCTCAAACGACAATGGTCTGCTGCTTCTCCGCACCTGCACAGAACACCGCCTCATCCTGACGAACACGTTCTTCTGTCTGCCGGAGCGACAGAAGGCCACTTGGAGGCATCCTCAGTCGCGCCAGTGGCACCTGCTGGAATATGTCCTCGTCCGGAGGCGAGATCAGCGGGACGTGCTGGTGACGAAGGCGATCGCGGGTGCTGACGGGTGGACCGACCATCGCCTCGTCATCTCGAAGATGCGTATTCGCCTACAGCCTCGCAGGAGACCACAAGGTAAGCGACCCCCAGGTAAGCTGAATGTTGCTTTGTTGTCTTTGCCCGCTCATCATCTTCCTTTCAGCAATGAGCTAGCTCAACGGCTAGACAACCTCCCCATCGCCGATGCTGCCGCTGCCGAGAACGCCTCCGTGGAGAACCGCTGGTGTCAACTGCGAGACACGGTCCAGTCGACGGCGCTCGCCGTCCTCGGTCGCGCTCCCCGCTAACACCAGGACTGGTTCGACGACAACGACGCTGCCATCAGAAATCTGCTTGCTGAGAAGAACCGCTTACACAAACCCTACGTAGATCACCCCACTGATGCCACCAAAGCTGCATTCTACCACAGTCGCCGCCAAATTCAGCAACGACTGCGCGAGATGCAGGACGCCTGGACCGCTCGCAAAGCTGAGGAGATCCAAGGCTATGCGGACCGCAACGAATGGAAGAACTTCTTCTCTGCGATCAAAGCTGTCTACGGTCCGCCGACGAAGGGCACTGCTCCTCTCCTCAGCGCCGACGGCAACACTCTCCTGACTGAGAAGACGCAAATCCTGCAGCGATGGGTCGAGCATTTCCGAGGCGTCCTCAACCTCTCCTCCGTCATCTCCGACGCCGCCATCGAGCGTTTGCCGCAAGTGGTGACCAACGTGGACCTCGACCTCCCGCCATCGCTCCAGGGGACCATCAGGGCCGTGCAGCAACGCTCCAGCAGGAAAGCACCTGGATCGGACGCAATCCATGCTGAGGTCTACAAGCACGGAGGTCCTCAACTGATGGATCACCTGACTGCGCTCTTCCAGGAGATGTGGCGTCAAGGTAGAGTCCCGCAAGATTTCAAAGACGCAACCATCGTGCATCTCTACAAGCGCAAAGGGAATCGCCAAGTCTGCGACAATCACCGCGGCATCTCCCTGCTGAACATCGGCGGGAAGATCTTCGCCCACATCCTTCTCAACGGCCTCAATAATCATGTGGAACAGGACCTTCTGCCGGAAAGCCAATGCGGCTTCCGTCGTCATCGTGGGACCACGGATATGATCTTCGCCGCCCGCCAACTTCAGGAGAAGTGCCAGGAGATGCGGACCCACCTGTACTCTACCTTCGTGGACCTGACGAAAGTCTTCGACACGGTGAATCGTGAAGGACTGAGGAAGATCATGCAGAAATTCGGCTGTCCGGAGCTATTCACTCAGATGGTGCGTCAGCTGCACGACGGTATGATGGCGCGAGTCACGGACAACGGCGCTGTCTCAGAGGCATTCGCAGTGACCAATGGAGTGAAGCAGGGCTGCGTTCTGGCGCCTACCCTCTTCAGTTTTATGTTCTCTGCCATGCTGATGGACGCCTACCACGACGAACGCCCCGGGATCCGCATCGCCTACAGGATGGACGGTCACCTTCTGAATCCACGGCGAATGCACTTCCAATCGCGTGTATCCACAGCCACCGTGCACGAACTCCTCTTCGCCGACGACTGCGCCCTGAACACCACCTCCGAAGCGGAGATGCAACGGAGCATGGACCTGTTCTCCGCCGCCTGCGAGAACTTCGGTCTGGTCATTAACACGCAGAAGACGGTGGTGATGCACCAACCGCCACCCAACTCAGCCACAGCCCCCAACGCGTCGCCGCAAATCAGCGTGAACGGAACCCAACTGCAAGTGGTGGAGAACTTACCGTACCTGGGCAAAACTCTCTCCCGCAACAACAAGATCGACGACGAAGTCGCCAACAAGATCTCGAAATCCAGTCAAGCCTTCGGCCGCCTCCAAAGCACAGTTTGGAATCGCCACGGTCTCCAACTGAGCACGAAGCTGAAGATGTACAAGGCCGTCATCCTGCCGACACTACTGTATGGAGCGGAGACTTGGACGGTGTACACGAGGCAGGTGCCCAGACTGAATCACTTCCACCTCAGTTGTCTTCGTCGCATCCTGAGGCTAAAGTGGCAGGATCGAATTCCGGACACTGATGTGCTGGAACGGACGGGAATCTTCAGCATCTACGCCATACTGAGGCAAATGCAGCTGCGCTAGAGTGGCCAGCTGGTGCGCATGGACGACGAGCGACTACCCAAACGACTCTTCTACGGAGACGTCACGACGTGTTCTCGCCGTCAAGGAGGCCAGATTCGCCGTTACAAGGATACCCTGAAGTTCTTCCTGAAATGCCTGCGAATCAACCCGACCAACTGGGAGGATCTCGCACTCGATCGACCGACCTGGAGGAGGACAGTGAAGACAGGCGCTGCGATATAGGAAGCCAACCGCATCGCTGTCGCCAAAGCGAAACATGAAGCCCGCAAATCACAATTTCACCCAGTCCGCAACGCCGCTGCACAACCGCTTCCAACGTGTCCTCGATGTCAACGGACATTCCGGGCTCAAATCGGACTTGTTGGACATCTTCGGATTAACTGCGCCTTTCGAACGGCACCAACCTTCGTCCCCCCGCCTGCCTCTTCCTCCTCCTCTCCGCCGCCAACTAACCCTGACAATTCTTCTGACCCACCACTTCCATCATCGTTTCCCTCCTCCTCCTCCTCCTCCTCCTCCTCCTCCTCCTCCTCCTCCTCCTCCTCGCCCACTGCTCCAACGGCAGCTGCTTAGGCGACTGTCCCGCGCACAACAACTGACACTACCACCACCTCCCCCGACTCCAGGGATGAGGATCAGGACTACAACTGCCCTCACTGCGACCGTACCTTCACCTCACGCATCGGCCTGGTGGGTCACTTGCGAATCCATCGCACAGAGACTGGCGAACCAGTGCCTGGAGCACCAACCTACACCCACCGCACTCGCCTCCACTGCCCACACTGCCCTCGCACCTTCACGCATCGCATGGTCTATTCGGCCACATGCGCATCCACGACGACCTGCGGTAGACAACCGCCGGTCACACCACACATTCCCTCACTCCCTACCTCCTAACACCATCACCCCACCAGACATCAACCCTCACACACCTCATGCTCTCAACTGCCGCCTCCCACGCAAGTGGGAAGTGTGCATCTCGACTCGGTCCCCATGCGGCGTCGGCTGCACGGGTGACTTGAGTCCGAGACTATCCCGACACGTCAAGCGTCGTGGATAGGAAGGTTGCTGATTGAGGCCCGCACTCGGTTCGCGCAGTTCGTCATGTTGTGTGTGTGGTGTGTAGTAGCGGACTGGTGGGCTGGGGACGGGCTGCAACAGCACCTTCCACGGCACTCTCACGCAAGTGAGAGACACGCCGTTCAACCCCCGTTGTGTGAAATCCTGGTGTTTGTGTGTGTATGGGGGGCCAGGTCGTGCTGTGGCGCGCGCAGTCATGGTCCGCTGACCGGCTCGGACAGCGGCTGGGGTGTGGGGATGGGAGGGGAGAGTACGGTCGATGACTCAGCGCACTTTCTCCTCACTATAAACAATCTGACGAGCTTGAAGCTATCACGGTGCGCTAGAAGCCGTGGCTTGGAAGGTTGCCAACTGACGGTGTACCTTGGACCTCCTCCTTAACGGGAGGCGGTCTGAGAGTCAGGCTGCAATGGCTCCTTTTTAATGTGGCCTTTATGGCACTCTCACCACAGTGTGGGATTCGAGCCAGGCGTTGGCGGCACGCCCAGGTGCGGCTTCGGCCGTACCAGCCTCCAAATCTCTGTTGTGCTGGTTGAAATCCTGGTTATTGTTCTGTGGACCAGGGGGTGTGGTGGAACGCCAAGGTTAGGATCCATCCGAGCCATCCACCTGCGGCCTCCCTCGTCTCCGGTCTTCTTGACTCTGTCTTGACAGCGGGCCCAGGCGGGGGAGGAGGAGAGAGTGTAGGTAGATGCTACGCAAGTCTACTGGCACTATAAACCCCTGCGTAAGTCACCGTCCCTGCTCCCATTGCTGCTGTAACTGTGGGGCACACGGTGGACATCATCGAAAACGATGGTCGAACTGTCATACGAGGGATCTCTCAGTCTCTATTGGGGGATATCATAAGTAGGCGTGACAGTTCGAACGTCGATTCCGACTATGTCCACCATGTGCTACACAGCAAGGTGCAGCAGGCCCGGCGACTTTCGCGTGAATTAGTTTATGCTGATAGTAGAATTGTGCGACATCTACCGCACTCTCTCGCTCCCCTACTCCCCAGCTGGACCCGGTGTCAAGACAGAATCTGGAGGACCGAAGTCCGCGGAGGGCGTGAGCGAGAACTAAACATATATTCCTCACGGCGAACACCGGCTACCTTTTTGATGTGGGAGCTTGTGTGAGGGAGCCCTCGAGTCCAGAATCCCATATGACGTAAGGGAGGACCAACTGAAGCTCGGAGTTCTAGCCAATCACTAACTTTCTCCCTCTTTGTCCAGGAAATGGATGCAGGAAGGGTGGGAGAATTGGGTTCGGATTATGGTTTTGAGTAGTATGGCAAATCCCCATTACTTGCTTGCTCCCATTCATGCTTTCTGCATGCAATCTTATCCTCTAATCTTTCGATTACCGGGACCCCTCTTTTAAGCAGACTATGGGGAGAGGGTTAACTTACATGATTAGCAAACGCGTGCTGTGATACGTGGTAGAAAAGATTGAAATATTCCAATTTAGTCCAAAAGAGAACTTGCTGTTCCCCGATTATCCCAAACTCGACAGTTTTTGAGTCCTGATTTAGTTGGACTGGTCTTTTTTTCAGGCTATATCGTTTGGTCATAGCGATATATTCTCAAACTGCCATTGAAAGATTACCTACGTCGGTTAGATTTGAAGAATTGTCAGAAGACTTTCTAACTTTCGCCATTTTTCCCCAAAAATCATCCGTAAAAGTGTTGATGAGAAGGGAGCGTTATGAACCTGAGAGTCTTAGTTGTCAATTCCTGAGACCTACAATTCCGGGGATACAATCTTTCAGTCGCCATTTGGCGGGTCCGGTCGCAATTCGAAGGATACCCTCGAGATCACTTTGTCAGCGGGTGTTCTGGTATGTGTTTAGAAAAGAGATGCCACCCATATCTACTCTGAGAATACGTAAGCGCAGGTGGCCTCACGGAACCTTGTTTGTCAGATAGCTGAACTAGTTTATGGGTGTTTTCCGCAGGTAATTTGCACGTGCATTGTAAATTCCAGTCAGCTGGTGTCGCAGCACATTAAGGCCGCGACATTTGGCTGTGCCACGCCTGCTTTTCGAAATCCGTTTTCTAAAGAGAGTGAGATAGAGGACACGATAGTGCATCTCTGGCCTGTCGACTAAATTTCAATAAACTTGAAATAAATTTTTCCTCAATTTTTCTACATCACAAGATACAGAGCGTATTTCCTTTCAAAGTATGTGGCTTGTCCTTTCAAACTCAGATAATCGTCAGGAAGAGTTACCGCAGATACGAAAGAACTGTCAAGTATTATATCGGGTATTTATATGCCACTCACGAAGCCTTAGATCTTAAAAAGGAAGTGAACGTTTAAAGGGTTTAAAATGACTGATCGATCGGGGGGAACTTATCTAAAGTAAGGACACGAAAGCTTTTAGATCACTACAGCTAGATGCAGCTATAATGCGAAACATTAAGATGAGCTAGAGGCCTTGTAACAAGTAAAGCTTCTTTGGGTAAGATGCGGTTATGTAGCCGCATCTGCTAGAGACAGTACTGTCGGGGGTTACCATCAGGAATTATTGTTAATTGTTTAAGTTAGGGGTTAGGGTAAGGGGTTAGCGCAACTATTTCTCAACCACTCAAAGTACAACCACGCAATCCCAATAGCTTTTCTTTCGCGTAAAATTACTTGACCTCGTCGCTTGTGCGTTCCCCAATCCGACCTGCAAAAAGCACTACTACCGCCGGTTACTTAATACAGACGGCTGGGGTTTGTTTACCTCAGATGCGGCTAAATAACCACATCTGACTTTTTCTTGTTGATGCAACCGCACAGTCTGGTATTACCAGGCTCCCTGTAGAAAACGCATTGACTCAGTTCGTTTTGTTAAGGTCTGATGATCGATTCAGCTCGGCATGACTCTGGGCTGGTCGGCACCGCGCTGAGAATAAATACAACCGGAGATCGAAGTCAGGTCCTCTCCGACCGAGGTCGTGTCGGTCGCCAAATGCCTCAGATGTTGACGTCGCACACACCATTTGTGCGGATTCATAAAAAGTTCCTCCCTTTAGACTCGCAGTGCCAGCTTGATGGGTCACAGGCCATCCAGGAGGATTGAAAGAAAGGCCAATGACTAAAACAAGTACACGACGGAAATTAAGTTTCCTAAATTTGGAGATTTCAGGTTCCCATAGGCCTTCTTGGATTCCAACTGCTGACGTATCAGACTGTCCCAAGTGTCTGTCACAGTTCTCGGCTTGTCTCAATCTAAACTTGTGTGCGTGTGGATGTATTGCAATAGCAGTACTCCGAGGTGTTAGAAGCATAACAAAAACTGCAAGGAATGAAAGGACTGGATACGTGTGAAAAAAGGACGGGGTAGGGTAAGATTACATACATATGTCCTCCGGGGTACTTCTGCGTAAGGCCACTTCTGATGGTGGTGAAAGGGGTTGTACGGGAGGGGCATTGACAGCGCGTTTGCTATCGGCTGCTTCATATACCTGACTGATCTCGTGAAATGTCAAACGAAATTCTAAAAGGCCTTTTCAGTTAGGAAGGACTGAAGCACTAGGTTTGTGAAACCGGTTATCTTGCGAGGCAATCCCATTACATTTTAGACACGTCAGGGTGCTGGCTTTTAAAAGCATCCCTTTTTGGCCACCTTAAAAAACGTCACTCAGAAAAACTGACCATTTAGGTAGCATGTATTTTCTCTATCAACCTCAAATGCCTTCGTAATCTGAGACGTACTTTATGGAAAACCTCCATAAAAACTCTTGCTTGTACCCATTTCGGTCTTAAAGAGTTTTTCGACTCCTGAATAAACTTGAACTCGATCAACTATAGCATTTTCTTTTACGGTTTTCAATCTTTAAGCTGTATACTCTCCGTCTACGGAAGATACACATTCCTTTATGCCAGTAAAAAACACCATATGGGACTCAGAAAATGCTGCAAAAAATGTGAGTTGTGTTGTGCACTTTTAAAAGCGAAGGATACCGTCCATCCGAGCATAAAATTTGAAGAAGACGTAACGTGCTACTAAATGAATATAAAAAGGAATATTTTTGCGCATAGTTTTCAGAAAAGATTTTTAAATTTTCAAGGGCATGCAAAATAATAGGAGAAATTGAATATTACATAGTAAGTGTGATAAATCATGAAATGTTAATCAAAGTTCCGAGATACGTTTTCGTTTCGAAAATATTACTTAAGTAGTGTTGAAAAATTGGCCATAATGCAGCATAATTCTGAAATAATTCAGCTACCCGGAATGCCGACTTTCAAACGAACTTCTTTCCGGCCACAGGCAAAAACCACACTCTATGAGAAATGACTACTGATCCAGCATGAATTTCTTTCATTGATTTTCGATTTCCTCAAAAATTCAATTATATATTTCTGAAAAACATGAATAAAAATATTCATTCTCTCACTCTTTTGGTAGAAAGTTACGTTACTTTAAAGTTTATGCTCAGAGATCGAGCATAATTCGGTTTTCAGAAACGCTTTCAATTTCCGAATTATTTTGATTCCGACCTGCCTCCAAACTTGCATTCGGGGTTTCCAAACTACAAGCCATATATATATTTTCTGCTTGCGGAAAACCATACATTTCTCTAGGGCATTAAGAGGAAACCATATGGGGTTCATGAAACGTAGCAGCGGATTTGGACCATATTATAAACTTTACAAGCCACATAAGCAAATGCAGAGACAAAATGTTTTATGAACGGAAATTTCACGGTATTGAAAAATCGCATATTAGAAACTTCTTTGGGGAACAGTTGCCCAACCCTTAACCCTAGACCTTATCCCTAACCCTAACCCTGCAATCCTAACCCTAGCCCTTAACCGCAGCCCCAAACCCCAACCCTGAAACGTTCAGCGCAAAAGTTAGAAGGAGATGACGGGCCGAAAGTCAAGAAGAACAGCCGGCATTGGGTCGAAAAAGGTAGACACGGCGACAAAGAGACAAGGCCGCCAGCAGAAAACACACCGCAGCGCACAGCAACTCCATGCCAACGTAATCACACCAAA